ATCGATTCCATCATCGGTAGAGGACGGCTCATTTTCGACAGCGCCATTATCGACGCCACTGTCATCATCACCCACAACTTCCATCTCAAGTTTTAAATCTTCCCTGAGCCGGAAAATGGCCTTGAGCAGGAGCTCTTCGAGGGACAGCAGCGGTCGTGGGCACAGCACCCAGAACGCTGCGTTGGCTGGCCCAATGGTGGAACGGTTTGTTCAGGCACAAGCTCAGCAACAGGCACTGGAGCAGGCAAGGCAGTCTTCTGAGGGTGCCAACAATGCCGTCGTCTCCAACGCCAGCTTCTCGTCCATGTCCACGGCATCCACTGGTCTCAAGATGACGTCAAGCTCCAGCAACTCGCCTACGCTCATCTCGAACGTGCCAACACCGGCGTATGGCAACTCTATGCTTCCCTCGCCGGAGCCGCTGCGTGGACGGGACTTGGACCCTATTCCCATCTCCTCGTTCCAGCTGCCGGAGTCGATGTTGAGCCATAGGGTGAGCGAAACCTCTCTCCTCCAGAACACCCCGCCACTCAGTATGCAGCAGGGCAGCGGCAGCGGCAGCACCACCTCCATGTCACAAGCACAAGAGGCATCCCGGCAGAATGGCAGCATCATCCGCCGTCTGTCCAACCGAGCCTCCAGAGCGATCACGCGACGCAGGCCGTCGTCTGCGCACCCCAACAGCCGGGACGTTAGTGTCGGGCCCGGCATTCTTCGCAGACGAAGCGACAGCAACAACACGACTCCTGTCAGCGACATACTGGACCGGCCTACCTTTGACACCGACTCCGAGTTCGAGATTGACGAGCGGGACGATGGTGACAGCATTGCGGCTTCCATGTTCGACGGCATTGCCAACACGGACGCATCTGCCACTACGGTTGGCACGTCTTCTGTGAACGGCTCCGTCGCGACAGCCGCGGCGCCCACGCCCGCTGAGGTTGGTCCGGTTATCCCGCTGGCTCTGCTCCATGGCATTTCTATTCGCAAAGTGTCCAAGAAGCACAAGCGCGTTCTCCTCACCCTCGATGCCGAGGCCGGCAAGGTCTCCTGGGACCGGTTCCGCCCGTCCAAGAGCATCTACATTGATGACATCAAGGAGATCCGCACCGCCGAAGACATCCGTCAGTACCGCTACGACTGCAACGTGCCCGAGTCCGACGAAGGCCGCTTTTTCTCCATCCTCTACCAAGTTCCAGGCGTGAAGGAACCCAAGGTCAAGCATTTCATCGCTGATTCCGAGGAGAATTTCTTGGACTGGACGACCACGCTGGACGCCATCTACAAGCACCGGCAGGATCTGATCGCGTCGCTCATGGCCTTCAACGACAAGGCTGTGCGTGGCTACTGGAACCGGGAGATGGCCAAGCAGTCCTCGGAGAAGCTTAGCACCCAGTCCACCACAGCCCTTGCTGGCGAGATTGATTTTGCGGGTGTCGAGCGTGTCTGTCGCAACTTGCACATTCATGTTCCTCAGGAGCGACTCCGCACCAACTTTGCCAGTGCCGATGTGCACAAGACGGGCCGCCTGAACTACGCGGGTTTCCAAGAGTTTGTGCGTCTGATGAAGAAGCGCGGCGACATTCATGCCATCTACCGCACATTGGCATCCAACGCGAGCCTGGGCATCACCCGCGACGAGTTCTTCGACTTCTTGCGCAACACACAGGGCGAGAACGTCGACGATGAACTTGCCTCCTGGGAGACTGTGTTCTCCAAGTTTGCCCGCCGGCCCAAGGCTTCATCGTCGTCGGGAAAGGACATTGCCGTCATCAGTGATGGCGAGTCGGCTATTAGCGGCAGCGAGGAGGTCCCGCGGATGTCGGAGGCTGGCCTCGCGAGCTACCTCACGTCGACCTACAATCTCTCCTTCATCAAGGAGCCGAAGGAGTACACCTTTGACCGCCCCATGAACGAGTACTACATCTCTAGCTCGCACAACACCTACCTGGTCGGTCGCCAGATTGCAGGCACGTCGAGCGTCGAGGGCTACATCTCCGCTCTCACACGTGGCTGTCGCTGTGTAGAGATCGACTGCTGGGATGGTGCCGACGGCCAGCCCATTGTCAACCACGGCAAGACCTTGTCATCGAGCATGTCCTTCCGTGAGGCCGTCAATGCTATCAACCGCTATGCATTCGCCAAGTCGCCCTTCCCTTTGTGGATCTCGCTCGAGGTGCACTGCAACCCGGAGCAGCAGCGCATCATGGCCCGGATCATGCGTGAGGTCTTTGGCAGCAAGCTTGTCACCGAACCGCTCTCGGCCGCGACCAACCGCCTCCCCTCGCCGACTGAGCTCCGGGGCCGCATCCTGATCAAGACCAAGAAGACGCAGCAGCCCACGACGGCCACTCTTCCGCCACTCCCTCTGCAGACCGCGAGCGAAGTCATTGCTGCCAACACGAGCGAGTTTTCGGGCCGCCGGCGGGGCAACAGCCTGCCGACGCCGTACTATAAGGCGCTGACTCTGGACGGCAATGTCCCGAGCGTAGTCTACTCGCCCACGTACTCGCAGCCATCGCCTCTGTCGTTCTCAGCCAGCCAGTCTCCCGCCGTGCTCAGCCCCGGCTACTCGACCCCAACGACGCCTCGCAAGGCCAGCACCCCCAAAGCGCGCGTCGCCACGGTCAACACCATCACCGAAGGTCAGGTGGCGCGTGAGACCCCGAGCAGCAGCACGAGCGATTGCGACAGTGGCAGCGAGAAGGCTCCCACCAAGCACAAGCAAAGCAAGATCGTGCCCGAACTGGGCTGCCTGGCTGTCTACTGCGTTGGCGTGCACAAGACGACGCCCTTTGAGGACCCCGAATGCAAGGCCTTCAACCACATTCTGTCGTGGGATGAGACTGTGTACGACCGCAGCACCAAAGCGCGTGACTACCGCCAGGCGGTGTACTTCCACAACATGCGCTATCTGATGCGCGTGTACCCCAAGGCATACCGGTTTGGCTCGTCCAACTTTAACCCTCTGGGCCATTGGCGCCGCGGCGTGCAGATGTCGGCGCTTAACTGGCAGACGTATGATCTGGGCATGCAGCTCAATGAGGCCATGTTTACGGGCGGCACCGACGAGTCAGGCTACGTTCTGAAGCCGCGCGAATGCCGCCAGTTCCAGGTGTTACCCAACCTGCCTGGGGAAAGCAAGCCGCGCGAGCTCAAGCGCGAGCGCAAGAACGTCAACTTTAGCATCGGTGTTGTCTCGGCCCAGCAGCTGATGCGCCCCGTCAACTTCCCCGACCGCCGCACGCTGGATCCCTACATTGAGGTCGAGGTCTTCATGGCCGACGACAAGCGCGACCGCGACGAGAGCAAGCAGCAGTCTGACCACGTGCCGCTGACCCCGCTCATCTATCGCACCAAGATCGCCCCCGGGAACGGCTTCAACCCGGTCTTTGACCAGCGCTTCACCTTCCGCTTTACGACCAAATACCCCGACCTGGTCTTTGTGCGGATGAGCGTCAAGCTGGCCGACAACGGCAAGTACACGAGCGCCAACCCCACGGCGACCTTTACGGCCAAGCTCAGCAATCTCAAGCAGGGCTATCGTACGATTCCGCTCGTGGACGTGAATGCCGACCGCTACATGTTCTCGACGCTTCTGTGCGAGATCCACAAGGAGCCGATTACGAGCGTCTTTGTGCCGTGCGCAACCGACGCAGCCGAGGGCAGCACTAGCACCAACAAACTCAAGAGCATCCGCACTGTCTTCAACCGCACGACAAACCAGAGCCCCAAGTCGAGTATCGACAGCGGGCCGTCGTGAGCCAGTCGAATGATGCCATCCTATCCTTTTTTTCTTTCTTCTTGCCTCTCTTCTTTCTCTTCTTGTACTACTCTTTCGTTTTCATTTGTCATTTTGGACTTTGGTCATTTTCTGCATTTCTGCCTTTCTGCCTCTCGTGTCCCATTTATAGCAAGCTTCAAGACATGACAAAAGATTTAGCATAGCGACGTGTGGGTTGAAACGGTCAGCGCATCCAAGGGTTTCTTTTTTTGTTATGTTTGTTTTTATTTCAGTTCTTTCCACCTCTTTTCCCGCAGTTTTTTACCCAACCCAACCGGCGTTTTTTGATCACATCTTTCTTTTTGTCTACACGATTGCATTTTGTTGTTATTCCCCCCACGGTGGATGGACACTTCACACTCACGACCGCACATCATTCTGTATTTTTGGTATCACGTTTAATGGATAGAAAGGCGACGCAAACAAATCAAACGCACGAACAACCATACTAGGACAATGCTATTTTTCCCCTTATTTCCCTTATTTCACTTATTCTTTTTTGCGTCTCATTTTGTTTCATAGGACGGATGGTTTTTCTATTTTTCAGACAATGGATTCGTTAGAATAACACATGTATTTTGCGCAATTTGGTCATGCCACAAACCCCCTCTCTTTCCATCTGAATATTTCCAGTTTTCGACTTCCTTCTTGCATGTGACGGCCACGTTTTATTTTCACACTTTGCATACCTGAGAGAGAATGGAGTCTTGGCACCGAGACCAACGGGATATTATCATGTTTACTATAGTATCGACTTACAGCACTGCATTCATATTTTCGTTTATATCGAATGATATACCGTCATGACCATTTCCTGGCATCTTTATATGTGATAAATCCTTTGTGTGAAAGCGGCCAATATCTCTGCAAACTAGCTAACAATTTTATGAATAAAAGTACGAAGTAAGACAAAAAGTCAAACCCAAGACGGAAGAAATAAAACTGATAGACTACACACTGTATGCTTTACTTTGGCCGTTTTTTTTTTTAAAAAAAAGAGCAATTAAACCGCTGCATAACCCAAAACAAATACAACAAATTCAGATGAAACAAAAAAAGACCCATGAACGCGCCAGAAAAATAGAACAATGCAAAAGCTGCTCCCATCCCGCCTCGCCAAATGATGGACGGGGGTTGTCTAAAAAAAGCAATTGGCGCGTGCTATATGTACATGTACATGATGAAATTGGCAAAGGGCGTGTGGCCCAGGTGACACTTAGTCGACACTGCCATCGTCCAGCTGCTCGTGCGGCTGCTGGTGGGCGCCATCGGCAGGTTCTGGCCATGTGCTGGTCGGGGATGCCGCACCGGCCGTGGGCGAGCCTGCACCGGAGCCACCGACGGGCGACGCCTTGCGCAGGAGCGCACTGGTGGGGTCGGGCATCCAGCGGGCCCGCAGCGGCGACAGGGCTCGGCGCTGGTTCTGTTGGTCTTGTGCAGGAGCGAGAATGGGCGCATCTGCCAAGGTAGTGGCGTCCTCTTCGCTCGTATTGTCGAGCTCGTCGTCGTGGTCCTCTTCGTCGTCCTCAAAGAGGTCCACGTCGTCTTCTGGCAGCTTGCGGCCGGTAGTGCTCAACCGCTCCATCGAGACGGCATTGCGGTTGGTGTTTTCGTTGTTGCGGCGGGCGCTCGAGTCGGCATCTGTGTAGCCCTGGTTGGGGTCACGGCCCAGGATACGGTCAGCCTTGGACGGGGCGAGCGGCGACCGGTGGTAGCGGCTCGGCTGCGTCCGAGACGAAGAAGGGTGGAGGTTGAGTTTGGAAGGAGGCGCGGCGCGCTGGTTCTGGTAGCGCTGCTGCGGGTTGTAAGCAGGTGGCTGGCCCTGGCCGGGTCCTTGTGGGCGTGGCCGTGGAGGCGTGGCAGACGTAACGACAATGGGCGGCGGCGACGTGGCGCCGTCGTCCATGCCCCACCCAGCGGCCCGTTCACGAGCGCGCTGGGCCTCGCGCTCCTTCTGGATGCGCTCGCGGGCGGCCACCCACTTGGGGCTGGCCTCCCAGGTCCAGCCGTCGCCGATGGTGGTGCAGACGGGAATGGGCCACAGCCAGGGCTTGGTGCCGAACATGTGGCGCAGGTTGCGGCGGGTGCCGAGGTCAAAGGCGTGCGGCAGCTTGGCGCTGTCCTGCTCATCGAGGTAGGCTTCGTGGCGCTTCTGGGCGCGGTAGCGTTCGAGGTCGTCGTAGGTCATGCGACGGCCCATCTGGCTTTGGGCACCGCTGGCGACACTGCTGCTGTAGTTGAGCAGCGTGCTGTCGTCGTCGTCGTCGTTGTCGTCGTGTGCGCCCTGGACACCGGCGAACATGCCCTGCTCCTCGTCGCCGCTGTGGCCGCCGCCACCATGAAGTTGGTTCATCTGCCGGCCGTACTGCGGCAGAGGCACGCCGCGCTCGGCGGCGGCTGCCTGGGCATTGGCCGACAGCGTCGAGATGCCGTCACCGATGGCGCCAGCGACGGTGGCAGCCGCCGTAAAGGGCATGGAGCCGCGCAGAGACGAGCTGTAGCGCGTCTTTTCCATGCACTCTATGGTGGTCTGGCCGCGGCTCGCAAGGACAATGTGCCAGGCCGTAAACAGGCCGACAGCAAAGCCGATGATGCCGCCGATGACGGTCAGCATAATGTACTGCACGGGCATGAGGCTCTCGCCGGCGGTGGTATAGGTGGCGTCGTTGACAATCTCGGTCCAGACCCAGGAGCCGGCCACGACAAAGGAGAAGATGCTGAGCGAGGAGGTGTAGATCAGAAACAGAAGAAACATCTTGCCGTTGCGCAGGCCAATGCAGGTGGCCAGCCAGGGGCAGTGGTGGTCCATTTTTAGAACACAGCGGCGACAGGTCGAGCAGTGGTGGGCACGGTCGGGCTTGCGGGCCTGGCACTTTTTGCAAAAGCGCATCTCGCCGTTGGACTTGACTGTGAGGCTGCCCGAGTCCATGCCGCCGCCCTCGTTGTGGTCGGCGAGGCCGCTAAAGGGCGAGGCCGAGTTGGTGGGCACGGTGCTGTAGCCCTGGTCGTTGGTGGTGCTGCCGGGCGACGTAAAGACGGCGGCCGTGTACGACCAGACCATCATGACATAGATGACGACGGCCACGACGGCGCACCAGGGCCCCGTCCAGGACGCGTGGTTGTACGCTTCGGGGGTGGTGACGAGGTGCACAATGACCCAGCAGGCCCATGTCGAGATGCTGTAGACGAACGCGAGCGGGAAGTACGTGGCACAGGTGCAGCAGGCACGCTCGAGGCGCCGGGCGAGGCGGCGGCCGATCATGGCGGGAGGCGGCGGAGGATGGTCGGGATGGTCGGGATGGTCGGGATGGTCTTCGTCTTCGGCCGTGTAGGGATGAGCGTGGCTGAGGAGCTCGACGGAGTTGGAGTAGGGGTCGTCGGAAGACCGGCGAGAGAAGGTGTTGGGGTGGGTCTGCATACGACGGCCGTTGCGGTCCATGTGGCGACGGTAGGAAAATGTGACGGGAAATGCGAAATGCGAAATGCAAAATGCGAAATGCAAAATGGAAAATGCGAAATTCTGCCAGTGCAACGTCGAGGCGAGAGATGCACAACGCACGACGCAGGACGAAAGTTGGTTCAATCAACGCAAAACGCTAAACGACAGGAGATGCAGACGCAGCCATCGAGGCGGGCATCACAGGTGGAGGGCGTGTGCGGGATGGACGCAGAGCAAAAGGCACGTTGTCGATATGTCGTTGTCGTGGAAAAGGAGGTTGAAACGGAGAGAGGGAGAGTCGACGTGGATGTATTTCGTAGGCTTCTTGGCTGTGGAGACGGGGCACTGGTACGTCCCAGTCGTTCCTGCTGCGCCGAGTTGCTGACGACCACTGACAATTGTGGCAGTGCGCACAATTGGGCAAGAGAAGGAGGGCTGGAAACGGAAACAGCGACCGCGAAGTAAATAAATCAGGAAAGAGTAAAACCACATCTACGTACGTATGAAGAAAGAGCTGCCCGTTCCTTCCATTCCGTGACGGCGCCTCCTTTTCCTCCCGCGTCCTGTCGTTCTTTCCGGAAGCTGCGGGTGCGCGCCCTACGTAAAGTAGAACCTGTTAGCGTGTTTTCCGTGTGCCCTGCCATTCCAATTTTAGAGTGCCAATGTGGAGTTTGGCCCCCGGGGGGGGGGGGGCGTCGTCAGGGGGTTTTGGGGCCTTCAGGTGCCAAGTGCCATTATGTGGACCTGTAAAGACACTCAACGAGACGTCCAGGACGAAACGCTGCACTTTCAAATCAACAAAATGACGAGAATTCCATTCCCACAGTGCCAGCATCACCATATCATAGTCTGTATCTTACAGCTATTTTGTCGCTGTCTTCTTCGAAACTGTTGTTTGCTTCTTCTAGTAACCACCACGTCTTTTCGTAGGATGCTTCATACTGTCGCATAGCAACTCAGATAGATCTGGTAGTCAAACCAGTCAATTACCTTACATTGCACTCGTTGATGTCACTCGTTCGTGTGACATCGTCATCCTTCCTACACATGGCCATATCGTGGTGACACTGTACTGCTGTTCCACGGTCGTCAACTCAAAATCAATCGTCATTTGCCTTCTTCGTATATACCGTTTCCCATGATCGAGCCATCCCCAAATCGTCTCACGATCGTCCTCACATCTGCCACAGGTGCTCGCCCAGCTCCATCAGCTTCTCGCCCATCTGCCGCCGTGCCGCGTTCTCAATACCCCGCTCCGGGTTCGCCAGCTGCTCCGAGTAGTACAGCTCAATCAGCTCCTTGAGCTCGTCGTACGTAAACGTGTCGTTGCGGTGGGCCGCCTCGCCGTCGGCGCCCATGGCGGCATCCGCGGCGGCATCCGTGGCGGCGGCCTCCGCCTCCGTGCGCTCCTTGCACTCCTTGGCCTTGGCCACAATGGCGTCGGGGCCCTTGTCGAACAAGGCGTAGTAGTTGGCGGCCCGCGCCAGGTCGACGCCGTCCTCAATGTTCTTGAGGTTTTGCTGGAGCACCAGGATGTTGAGCTGCATGCGCCCGCAGCCGCGGCTGTTCATGGGCGTGACCATCTTGGCGTTGCCGACGAGATAGGCGTTGACCAGGCGGCCCAGGCCCTGGCGCACAAAGTCGACCTCGCGGTCGCGCACGAGGCAGCGGACGACGGTCTCGTCGTACGCGATGAGCTCGCTGTTGAGCGACAGGATCTGCGGGTCGGGCTCGTTGACGTCCTGGTCGAGCAAGTACGGCGCCGTGGCCTCGGGGGACAGCGCGACGCCGAGCGCGTAGGCGATGCGGCAGCGCACTTCGAGGTGCAGCGTTAGCAGCGACGTGGCCGCGAGCTCCTCGTACGACGACACAATGCTATCAAAGGATCTGGGAAGTGAGCTTTAGTATGGGATGCATGTTTCCACGTTTCGTTTTGAGAATGGAGGCGGGGCCTTCAGAGGGGAAAACATACTGCACAGATTCTTGTGTCATGGGCAGGTAGACGGGGCCAGAATCGGCCAGAGCCTTGCCCGACTCCGTGTTGAGCAGCGTCCACCGCCGCTTGTCGGGCTTGACCAGGGCGGACGACGAGCCGGAGCCCGCCGCGCCGCTCGCACCTCCGCCGCTGTTGCTGCTGCCTGCGCCACGGCCGGGGCCGACAGGGTCGCCGTCGGGTCGTGTAATGTGCCGCAGGCCGCCAATCTTGACGGCCAGCCACTTCATGCTCGTGTACAGCAAGCACAAGGACGTGATGGCATCGCGGTCGGAGATCACGTCGCTCATGCCGAGGCGTTGGCTCTTGCCGCTGTAGCGCGCCAGCAGCTGCTCCACCTCGCGCTGCAGCAGCGCTGTCTTTTTGAGCATGAGGACCATCGGATCGTCGACGGCCGAGGTGGCTGCTGTAGACGCGGCGCCGGTTTCGGCTGCGTCGGCCAGCTCCTCATCGACGGCCCAGAGCGCACGCACTGTATTGGCCACATCGCTGCCCTCGAGGGCGAGCACAGCCGACACGCGCAGACGCTGGGAGTCGGCGTCGCTTCCCGTCGGGCTGGACGTGTTGGCTGTCGAATCGGTGGTGCTGCCGCTGCCGCTGCCGCTGCTGTCGACCTGCGTCTTGGTCACAAGCGCCTTGTACCAGCTGAAGCACCGATCGTAGTAGCGCATCATTTGCGTGATAATCAGCGCGCTGAGCGCCTGGTCGTGCGGGATGGTGCCGAGCATGCGGCAGAAGGCCGTGACGACGGAGAAAAAGGCCGTCGTGCCCTTGAACACAGGCCGGCGCGCCACCTGGCTCCATTGCGGATCGATCTGGAAAGCGTCTGCCTCGCCAAAGACGGCGTCGCTGAGCTTGCCGAGCGTCTCGTCCAGCTGCGGCTGGAAGACGTTGACCAAAAAGTTATCGAGGAACGACGTCAGCGTGCTCGCGGCCAGGTCGGACCCGGGCGGCACGATGCCCCGCAGCCGCTGCAAGAACACCAGCGTCGGCGGCAGAAGCAGGCTCATGTTGAACACACTGGGCTCGACAAGCGACTTGTGGAAGTCGCCGCCGCCGCCACCACCGCCACCGCCGCCACCGGCTTGCGACAATGGGTCGAGACTGCCTGCAGCGCCGTAGCTCTTTCGCCCGCCCTTCTTGTCACCGCCCTTGCGCCCGCCGCGGATGGCGGCGGCAGTGCCGCCAGAAGCAGCACCGCCCGCGCCGTTGTTGCTCGTCAGGCCGGGAACAGCGGCGCGGATGATGCCGTCCAGTGCGTCGTACTCGGTGGCCATCTCGAGCGACTTGGCATCGGCCTCGTTGAACTTGAACATGTTGTCGCGGCTGCCGCCCGCGCCAAGCGCGCCGTTCCGAAGCCCGCCGCCGTTCAAAAACATACTTCCACGGTCCCCGCCGCCGTGGCTGCCGCTTCGGTAGAGGTCGGCATCGGTGGTGACGTAGTTGTGCAGCAGGGACCGGATCTCGTTCTGGTACAGGTTCCAGAGCTCCTTGAAGCTGCCCAGCAGCGCGCTGTTGTTGCCGGCGCCCTCGCGGCGGATCAGCGCCTTGATGTACTCGTGGAAGATGCGGTGGCCCTCGGCAATGGCCTCAAATTTGCCATACAGAGTCCACAGGAGATCGTAGATGACGTCGGCGCGCATTTGCATCTCCCGGCTGCCGTAGATGTGGAGGCCCGCGCTGGCGGCAGTAGAAGCGCCTGCCGCTGCGGCGGATGAGGACGATGCGGCACCCGCTGCCCCACCCGAGCCACTGCCGCCGCCGCCGCTGGCACCGGTTCCGTCACCACCACCGCCACTGCCGCCACCCGAGCCGCCGCGTGCCAGGTAGGAGCCAGTCCCACTGCCGCTGCCGCCCCGAAGGGAGCTGGGGTGCTTCTGGTCGATCTCGTTGACGGTCTCGTGGACGACGGAAAAGAGCTCCACGGGCAGGCGCTGTTTCAGCTGGTCGACGGCGGCCTCGAGGCGGCCGAGCTTGTTCAGGGACTCGATGACGAGCGTGATGTAGTAAAAGGTGTCGCCCTCCGGGTTGCGCGCTGGGTCTTCCTGCACGGCATGCTCGACGTCCATGCTGTCGAGCAGGGCAAAGAAGGGCACAAAGTTGGCGGGGGTGTCGGCGGCCGACGCAGCCGGGCCCATGGAGGCGCCGAGCACCGACACACCGGGCGTAGGTGTCGCGCTGCTGCGGGTCCCCGCCGCGGTGGCGGTCGTCGTGGAGGCGGCGGCGGCGCCGCCGCCGCTTCCGCTGCCCGCGCCCTGGTGCTTGGCCAGCGTCTGCCAGCGCTCCTGGCAGTACGGCGACTTGAGGTAGAGGTGCTCGTGCAGCTCCTCGACCAAGATGTCCATGAGCGCTGTCTCCTGGTTCGCGAGGTAGCTCCGCAGATCCGACAGGGCGCCGATGCCGTCGAGCTCGGGCTTGCGCAGCTTGCGCAGCGCGTTCTGCAGGACCTCGACGGCCGTCAGAAACTGCTTTTCCGAGATGCGCGCCTCGAGCCGCTCGGGCACCTGGCGCAGCTCGTCCAGGTCGGCCAGGGTCTGCAGGAGATCGTCGTACTGCTGCGACGCCGTGTACAGCTTGGCGAGCTCCGGGTCCGTCTTGCAGAGACTGGTTTTGGACGCCGCGAGCCCCTCCTTGAGGGTGCGCACCTTTTTCTGCGAGGCCTGGATGCTGCTCTGGATCTTGTGGAAGGTGCCGATGGAGCTGTTGAAGCCCTGGTGGTAGTCGTGGACGATGCCCTTGAGCGAGTCCTGGAGGTACTGGTGGGTGCGCTGGAAGGCGCGGTACTCGTGGGCGCGGCCGACGGAGCTGCTGTCGAGCAGCTGCAGGGCCATCTGGACGGGGACGCAGTCCGTCTGGCACATGGCCGGCCACTCGGCGCGGATGCGGTCGAGCGCGTCCTGGCCGATCTGGCGGCGTTCGGGCTGCAACGACGCGCCGCCGTAGCCGCCGCCGCTGTAGCCACCGCCGCGGTCACCACCGGGTCCCTGTCGTCCATATGGTGGCTGCTGCTGCGACTGGAGCTGCTGGTTCGAGGGCTGCTGTCGCGGACGGCGCTGTGTGGGTGGCAGAGGGCCGCGGTCGTCGTACTGGTCGTAGGGCTCGTCTTCGCTGTCGGCCTGCCGGTACATCTGGCGTCCACCGCCGCCGCTGCCGCCCATTCGTGGAGGAGGTCGACGGTCGCCCCGGTCGCCCCGGTCTCCTCGGTCACTGCGGTCGTCCCCGCCGCGCGACGATGAGCTCATGTAGCCTCCGCCGCCTCGCCCATTGCTGCTGCTGTACCCGTCGCCGTACGGGTCGTACTCGTCCTGCTGCTGCTGCTGCTGCTGCGGTTGTGGCTGGAGTCGCTGCCGCGCCGGCGATGCTTGCGGTGGAGGAGGCTGCTGCTGTCGTGCAGGCGGGTTCTGCTGCTGTGGCGGCGGAGCACCAAAGTTGCCGTAGCCGTTGCCGTTGCGGAAGCTGCCGCCGTATCGATTGGACATGGCGCGGGAGCATCGGCCGGGGGATGGTTGCCGTTCACTGGGGCTGAGTATCGAGGTGTCTCGTGTGATGTGTGTTGTTTGTGTCGTCGATATAGATTGGGGGGGATTGGGGGATTCGTGCGACGGAAAAGGAAGTCGCTCGTGGGTTGCCGTTGTCGATGGGGAAGCGAGGCAGAAGGCGCGACCGGCAAGGCGCTTGCCCGAAATGGACGTCTGTGGCCAGAGTAGTGTCCCTGAAACAGCTCTATTTCAGGGAACGCTGTAACGCTCCCAGCCTCTTACTAGTCGAAATGACAGCATATGATTCGTCAGATACTGTACACGCAGCCAACCGCAGCTAGCAAGCGACGCGCTAAAGTCTCCTAAAGAGCAGGTGAGTGGGGGATGCAATGCCTGCTGTAGGACAGTTTCAGGTGACGTGACGCCTTCCAGCGCTGCAGTTTGATATTCATCCTTTACTGCATTACGGTGTACTTGTTGCCCAAGCTACTACCTCTTGGATTAGACAAATTTGAAGAGCTGTAAATTGAATCCGAGTATTTCACGGTGAATGTGTATCTGTGTCTGCGTGCTTTGCAGCTTGTCCTTTCCTCTGACGGTCGTCATCTCTTTATCCGTTTCGATCTCGTCCTCCCCCAGATTCATCACCGTCCTTATTCTGCCTTGTGTCTTCGTGGCCTACCAGACTTTCCTCGGCGACGCTTCTACGCCTGCGAGTACACCTGCGAGTCCGCCTGCGACTCGGTGTCCTGGCCGTCGTCCATGAGCAGCATCCGCGCCGCGCCCTCCTGCACATCGTAGGACAGCGTCATGTCCACGTTGCGTCCGTGGATCTCGGCGGCGCCGGCGCTCAGAATGTTGAGGAAGGGAATGTAGTCGTCCGACTCGCGGAACTGGCAGCGGCTCGACTGCGACTCGCAGTGCTGCATGAGGGCATTGACCGTCTCAAAGAGGACGAAGCACGACGGGCACTGGACGCGCACCTTGGAGTGCGCGGTCTCGGAGCGCAGGTGGCCAATGAGCCCGCCGGCGGTCTTGAACAGCTTTCCCACGCTCTGGCAGCTGGGGTACGGGCAATTGAAGCGGCGGTTGGCCTTGTTCTCGTAGCGGTAGACGCTGAAGTTGGGGTGGTCCGGGTGGTGGATGGTGATGCCCATCGTGCGGGGCGAGGTGTTGTCCATGGCGTGGGCGAGGATGTCGCCGCCGTCGCCGCCGCCAAGGTCGCGCGCGCCCATGCCAGCGCGGGCAGCGGCCCGCCACGAAGCGACCGCCGCCTTGACTTCATCGGGGTTGCTCCGGCTCGAGAGACCGGCGATGCCAGCAAGGTTGGCGAGGTTGGCAAGGCCGGCACCCAGGGCCGGGCCTGGATTGGCGGGTGTGCCACGCGGCGCCGGCTTGGTTGCTGGTGCAGGGTGGCCGCCGGGGCCGTCACTGCCATGGCCGTGGTGCGTAGCGGCCTCGGGCTTGAGCATGGTCTGGCCCGCCCAAACGCTCAGGCCCTGAAAACGCTGGTGGACGGCGTTGAGATGGTCGTCCGTCAGCAGATCGGGCGCCTTGGAGTCACCGTGGCGGAAGTCACGAACCACTTGGCGGTGCTTGAGCCTGTCCATGTCCGCTCCAGCGCCAACAGCCAGCCCATCCGCGTCCGCATCCGCGACCGCGTCCTCGTTTTCGTCCTCGTCCTTGTCCGCCTTGGCTTTCCCCTTGCCTTTGCCCTTCCGGTCCAGGATGCCGCCGACGCCCATGTTGCGCTGCCGCTTGAGAAGCAGCGCCTCCGAGGCCAACGCCGACGTGGGCGGGACCGCATGGCCGTTGTTCTCGCTTCGGTTCACGAGATTGCCGCGAATGCCGCTCGCCGTCGTCGTGCGCACGGTCTCGAGCTTCGACTCAGCCGCGACGGCGGCGGCCTCGCGGGGGTCAATGTTGATGAAGGTGCCAAAGTCGCCGACGGTCACGCCGCTGTGGTTGAAGATGCCGAGCTGCGTCTCCCGGCTCGCCACCGCGTCGGGGGCGACGACGCCGTCGACGGCGGACTCTGCATTGACGTTGAAACCACCGTCGTCGCGCACCGAGCCGCCGCCACCGTCGAGGGCGGCCTGGGCCGCCGCACTTGCCAGAAGATTGGTGGCCTGCACTTGCAGAGCACGGCTTTCCTTGACACGGCTCGCCCGAATGTGCGGGCAATCGTCGTTGTCGAGATGGTGCATGAGCGCGTGCAGCCGGGTGAAGAGGGCGCGGCATCCGGGACAGTGCAGCTGCTGCTTCACCGGGTGGTTCAGCTGGTAGTGGCGGACCAGGCCCTCAAACGTGCGGTGGTCCAGCTTGCAGACATGGCAGGACATGTGCGACTTGCGCTTCGTGGTCCGGATCATGTCCCATTTGTGCGTGATAAGGGCTTCCTCGGTGGCAAAAATCTGCACGCCGTCTGCGCACTCGAAGCACTGAAAGAGCTTCTCGTCGTCGTCCTCCATGGCCGACGTAGTGAGGTTTATGAGCGGGGATCGTACGGGCGTGAGTCGTGAAGCTGCGAAAGTGTGACGATGTGAATATATGACGATGTGAAATTGTGAAAGGAAAGACAAAATCTAAAGAGCGAGCGATGCCATTGTGCCACACAAACGGAAAGAGCTGATCCATTGTTTTGTGTTTGCACAACGCCCTGAACGAGAAGGTGCGATCGAGAGCTGCATCCTGGGCTCTTTCCGTGTAAGTCAATGCTCACTGCAGTTCTTGCCAGCTGCTGCCACTTGGCAGATACGGTGGCCATGTCTACTCTGCTTCATGATTAGGTCAGGCGAGTGTTACGAGCTTCCAAGAATAATTAGAGGAAGGCATCCATTGAACGCTTGTCTGTATGAATGAAGCAAATGTCGTCCTCGGCCTGGTCACGACGAGAGTGATGGGAAGCTCACGGCCGTCGCTCTTGTCCTCACTTGTAGCGCGCTGCGGCGAAAGCGTAGCAACTTCAACGGCATCTCTGTCGAAAGCAAATCATTGGCCCTGGTAGGGACGTCTCGTTCTCGCTTTCACGGAATACATATTGCGTTGTTTGTTTGCCCTTGCGTGACTGTCTCTGCCTACTGTAATTAATTTTTTTTTTTTTGGTCATAAATGCGGCACATCAATTTCAGGGGCAAGCTGGCCGGTCGCTGCTTCCAGGACAGGACATGTGGCTTTCTGGCGTGGCGGCACACTACACGAACAGTACGAGCCCAGCCTGCCCAATAAGGCAACAACTATCACGCTAGCAACCCCCCAAATGCGCCTCCAAGTCCCAATCACGTCAGCACCGACGGAGGCCGCGGGCAGGCTACTTTAGCAGCCTCCACTATTGAACCCAAAAGGCCAGCCTCGCCTTTACATCGACAAACCGAACTCTATCACCACCTTTAGGTTTCGTGGACCATTTCGTTTCTCTTTCTCAACCTTCTCACTTTGTCACTTCAACTCATCTCCTCACCGAAGAATCGTCGCGCCATCGACGTCATCCCGCCCATTGCCCATCATGGCTACGTCTCGGCGAAATGCCAAGTCGCCCACAATCCGGCGCATTCGTGAGCTTCCCTCCCCCCATCCCCACGGCGTCTTTCGCATCGTCGTTTGATACTAACAGGTCCCCTTTTTTGTTCATGGCAGTCCGCGAGGCACAAGAACTTGCCGCGTCGCCGTCCGCCGATCTGGCCGCGGCGCCGCTCGAGACCGACCTCTTCGAATGGCACTTTACCCTCCGCGGACCGCCCAACTCCGTGTACTCCGAAGGCATCTACCACGGCCGCATCGTCCTGCCGCCGACGTACCCGCTGCGCCCGCCGTCGTTCCGCTTCTCCACGCCCTCGGGCCGCTTTGAGGCCAACCGCGAGATCTGCCTGTCGATTAGCGGGCACCACGAAGAGACGTGGCAGCCGGCCTGGGGCCTGCGCACGGCCCTCGTCGCGCTGCGCTCGTTTATGGAGACGGACCCCAAGGGCCAGGTGGGCGGCGTGGAGGCGTCGGACATGGTGCGGCGGCGGCTGGCCATCGAGAGCGCGTCGTTTGTGTGCACAGGGTGCGGCGGGCGGACAAACGCCGCCATTCTGGAAGCGAGCGCGGCCGAGGAGGCGGCCGCCGGGGGGTCGGCGGCGACAAAGGAGGCAGACGTGGTGCCGGCCGAGCTGAAGCTGGTGTTTCGGGACGAGCTGCCGACGCCCCAGACGGCGCCAGCGGGCGCGGCATCAGAAGGATCAGGAGGATCAGGAGGACCGACCGCACCTGCTGCTGCACCGGCGACAACGACAACGACAGCGACGCCCACACCCGCAACACCATTAGAGGGCCAGCTGCCGTCACCACCGCCGCCACCGCCCGCCGCGCCTGCACACGCCGTTCCCGCCCCGACACCGACGATTCCTCTCCCCGACGCACAACCGGCTGCTGCGGCAGTGGCAGCCCCGCCTGCACCCGCACCGGGCCTTACGATTGCCGCTGGCCGCGTGGCCCGCCGGATGCAGCCACAGACGGCGGCACCAGCACCAGGCCAGCGTGACATGCAGAGGCGCGTGCGGCCCCACTCGGACGAGGCGGTGCCTGTGTGGGTGGACCGGACGATTGTGGTTCTGAGTGTGGTTCTGGGCGCCATGCTGCTGCGGTTGGTCTTTGGCTGAAGAGGCACGGCACGAGACAGACAGACATAGAAGGAGGGCCACATGCCGCAGAGGGCATCGGGTTTCGGATGATTTACTAGGAGTTGACGGTCCATTTCTGGCGTTATGTTATACCAGTTCACATATAGATCCCAATCTATTCAAAGGGACAAACTATGAATACACGTTTTTGTTGAGTTAGTACCTTGGGGTTCCAGCAGCCGCAACGATCAGCTGCAGAGCATAGTCAAGATCTGCAGGCGGTAGTTCGAGGGCGGAGTCAAAGGTGGGCGAAGATGACCCGCAACAGTGCAGTAAAGATACGTCAACAAAAGTAGAAAACTGGTTACTGTAACATTCTCGTCATTTACCCGAGAGCATCAGCTCAGCGTCTACTTATGAAGGTCATGCATCCGAACAGGCAGCAGCCCTACATGGACCGAAACGACGGCCCGTTGGAACGTAATTCACCGCTCGTCATCTGTTGTCATGGTCTGTCTGGCAACACGCCTTTTATGCCTTTTCTACCTGCCGTGGACCCCCGAGAGGCCTGACACATATGTTCGTGCCCAACGATGCGCATCGGATTCGACGGCCATGTGTGCACAGAGTCGCAGGGCCCACGCGTTACGTGTCATGCGCGACCGCGATGAAGCGCCCGACGTGACGTTTTGACAACAGCGGCCACGGGCCGCTCCGCGTGCCGGGCTGCGGCTACCCCGTGATTGCCGAGCGCGCAGTGGAGCAGCGATTTGCGCACGGGTTCCACGACTGGGCCCAGGACCGGGTGACGGAGCGCGAGGTGCACATGCTGCGCTACATGAACTACGTGACGGACCAGCCGGGCTGGCACGACGCCGTCTTGCACGACAAGACAGACGCAGACGGGCTCGCGCGGTGGGAGCGGGAGGCCGTGGCCAAGTGGCCGCTGCTGAGCCCGCGGGCCTTGGCTTGGTGTCGTGCCGAGCTGCGCGACAAGGCCAAGCAGTTCGCGGCAACCGGAGGAGGCCTCGTGACCGTCTTCAACGCCGGGGCGCGCGTGTGCAAGGCAGACGGCCTGCTGGCGCCGGCGTTGCTGAGGCGCCTGGCCGCCCACGTCGAGGCACTGGTGCACGACCATGACCAGGAGACGCAGTGGGGGCCGCAGCGCGTGCAAAGGCAGCGTCAGGTCGTCCGTTCGGACAGCCATCTCAACCAAGAGAGCGACAGCGAGACCAACGACGACAGTGGCGCGGACCGTCTGGCCGGTCCGTCGGGGGCCGAGACGCAGACGACCGTGCAGGCGACCCCCGGGCTCGTCGACCCAAACTGGCTGCCGCTCGTCTACGGACAGACACCCGTGCTCGCGCAGGGAGGCCGCGTCGGGTGCGCCGGTGCGGTGGACGCCATGGGCCGGGGCGTGCTCGAGCCACTGCCCGTGTACCGGTGGCCTCGCCATCTCGAGCGGCCGCGCCGCGGCGGGTGGCGGCCCGTGCGCGATGGGCGGGGCCGACGGCTGTATGACGGACTGGCCTACCGCTTCTCCCCGCGTTTCCAGTGGCTGCCGTGCGAAGTGCAGTTCGCGCCGGCCCGAGAACCCCCGGTGCCCGGACACGCAGATAGGCCGCTCGGCGTCCGCATCACGTCGTACATCAACAACCTGCACCCCGTCCGCCACCACGCGCTGTACCGGGACATTGGCGCCTGCATCGCGGCCGCCATCCCGGCGTGGAACGAGGTGCTCATGCTACGCAGCAAGGGACCCCACCCGTGGCACTTTCAAGGCCGCGACCCGCCACGCATCCGCACGTTTGGCGTCACGTGGTCGCCGCCGCGGCCGGCATGGGCGGCGGGCCTCGCGGCCGTGGATACGGCGGCAGACAAAGGCACACCAGAGTATCAGGCCGCCCGCGCCCAGGTGCTGGCGTACCTCCGCGAGCCCGAGAACCCCCTGGCCGCGCGGACGCCGTGGTACGAGCCCAACCTGCAGGTCCGGCACACGCTGTCGCACGCCATGAAACAGAAGCACGGCTACATCGCGGCGTGGGAGCATCCAGAGCCGGGCGTGGCGTTTACGTACGAGCAGTGGAAGGCCGGCCACGCCAGCGTGCCCGTGGTCCCGCCGCCGGAGGAGGAGCGGGTCGATCTGGCCGACCACAAATACTACACAGTCTCGCTGGCAGACACGTTCCAGGCGCAGGGCATTCAGGTGGTCGTCGAAATTGGGAGTCTGGAGCTGTGCCCGGGCACGTTCCGCCGCGGGACCCGTGGACGCTCACGGGCACACTCAACGACCACATTGTCGCAACGGCCGTCGTCTACTTTGCGAGCGACAACGTGACAGCCGACGCGGCGGGCCTGGACATCCGCGTGGAGGCCGACATCGAACCGCCCATCTACAGCCTCGACACGTGGGCCGGCGCGCCGTACCATTCGTCCTGGCCACTGGCCGACGTGTACGGTGTCGTTCCAGAGCCCGCGCACGGGCAGGTGGCACCGGACTTCTCGGCCCGCGCACCGCCTGTGCAGGAGCTGGGCACGGTGGTCGAGCCCGACGGCCGCCTGGTTGTGTGGCCCAACGCCGTGCAGCACCGCGTCCGCCCGCTCGCCCTCCGGGACCCGACGCGGCCGGGCCGTCGGCGCTTCCTCAAGCTGCACCTCGTCGACCCGCACTACCGCGTCGTGTCGACGCGCAACGTGCCCCCGCAACAGCGTGCGTGGTGGGCAGTCGCGGGCTGGGATCGCATCGACTGGGCCGCGCGGGGCCTGCCGCCCGAGCTGGTCGGCATGATCGGCAATGACGTGTTCGCCGCGCCGTGGCCCCCGGCGCCGGAGGAGGCCTGCCGGCTCTGGACACGCGCACGGCGTGAGCAAGCGGCCGTCCGCGGCGCGACATTCTCAAAGATGTACAGGTCCCGGTTTGAGGAGTAGCGAGTAGCGAGTAGCGAGAAGCGAGAAGCGAAAAGCGAAAAGCGAAAAGCGCCGTAGGTATGGTGTACAAGGATGCATATAATGTACAAGACCCGCGAATCAAAATCAAATACTTGCTTGACCATCAACCTCCAAGGCATCAATACCAAAGACGATTGGCGCAACGTAAAGAACAAAAACGCCCGAACAATGCACAAATAGAACAGAGGCGACAGACACCAAGACTGAACCCAAAAACTGATACCAATAGTACAACACCACCAAGGCAGCACCCTGTCTGCATTACGCGTCGTCGCCGTCGTCGCCATCTCCTTCGTCCTCCTCTTCGCCCTCACCGTCTTCGACAATGTCGGCCAAAGACGCGTCCCCGCCATCTCCGTCTCCATCGCCCAACTGGCCGTTGTCGACGCCGCCGTCTGGGACGGGCCCATCCGCCGCGACATGCATCTGGCCCACCAGCAGCCACCACCATTCGGACACGGCATGGCTGTTGGGTGGGCTGTCGACTGTGTCCACAGACGCGGCAGTGGTTGTCGTTGTCGTTGTCGATGTCGTCGTCTGGTCATCACGACGGCCGCCGTGGAGAATGCCCGCTGCGGCCGCCCAGTCCGTTAGCATCTGCACTTCAAACGGCTCAATGACCGGCCGCAGGTGTGCTGCCGTCTGCCCAATGGGCATCGCGCCGCGGGTGGCCAGCACAAACACCACGGCGCCCGCCAGCCGGGCAAACCATGCGCGGTCCAGAACGCCAAAGAAGTCGCGCCAGATGGGCATCTCCTTGTGGGCGCCCATCCGAGGGGGCGGTGGAACCCGACGATTGGTCTCGCCGTCTGCATGGCCACCGCCATCACCACCATCACTACTATCACCACCACCACCATCCGTCGTCACAGACGTCGCCACGTGCTGCAGCATGGCGGCCAGGTCGGCATCGTCGTTAAAGACGTACGTGTCCGTCGGCACGATGCGCGTGCGGAACCGCTGGTAGTGTTTGGGGAACTTGCGCGACTCGTAGTTGCCCGTCTCAAAGCCAAAGGGAATGTCAGGCGCGTCAATCGCCTCCACGGCGACACGGCCGTGCGCTTGCAGGTTCATGAGCGCCATGACCATGCCGTCGTCGTTGGTGTCGACCGGGATCTCGTACGCCGCATCCCTTGCCGCCGCATCCCTTGCGCGGCGAAAGCACGCGTCCAGTTCGGCCTTGAACGCAAACGCCTGCCGGAACTTGTCCTCCACGGCCGCCTTGTCGAGCGCATTCTCGTAGGCTTCCGTCAGCGTGTACATGCGGCCGCCCAGAGCCATCATCGACTTGGTGCGCCGCAGGATGCGGTCGGTGGTCAGGTTCGAAATCACCGTCTGCAGCAGGGCGTTCGTGGCCGTCTCGTCGAGCACGCCAGCGCTGCCGTTGCCGATGGCCGTGGCCCCCAGGCTGCCCAGCGTGAGCAGCCTGCGCTTGATGCTCGAGGGCTGATAGCGTGCATGGGGCGTGCCGCAGAGCGCCCGGATCCACGAGCGGGCCACCATGTACCTCAAGTCGTCAATGGCGCCCGCATGCACTGCCTCGGCCGGCGTGGTGGGCGGCGGCTTGTCAAGGGCCGTTGCCGCCGCCTCGGACGCCGTGTCGTGCAGCCGGTTCCAGACAGAGCGCGAAACGTGGAAGAAGTCTTCCCGCCAGCCGGCCACGCGCGACGGAGGCAGGTCGATCAGCGCGTGGCTCGCTTCCAGCGCGTCTCGCGTGGCCGGCAGCGTCTTCGTGTCGTGGCGCATCAGGCGGAGCGCCCAGCCCACGACCCGGCCCCAGTCATAGGCCAGGACGTTGTCGTAGTCGAGCGACGGGACGGCCTGTTGCTCGTAGGCGTCAATATAGGCCTGCTGGAACCGCTCGGTAAACTTGTCAATGTACGGCAGGCGCTCGCGGCGCGTGTTCTTCCAGAAATTGCGCAGCGCCGAGAGTCTCTTATCCGGGAACAGCCGCATCATGAGGCCCCAGTCAATGGCCTGCCCCAAGCCCCCCAGAAGCGTCCGGACCACAACAAACGCGGCCACAAGCGTGTCGTTGGCCGTCCAGTCCACGCCGCCCGTCTCAGACGACGCTATGGGATGGTGGTGGACATAGTCGGCCGGCTTCTGGGGGTAAGCCGTGAGCTCGCGCCGCGAGCTCATGACGTACTTGGCCTGCTGGGTCTGCTTCTCCCGCAGCGCCGCCAGTTCGCTGCTGCTGCGTGCCCATTTCTTACGCTGGGCTGGTGTGGTCGGTGCCAGGTAGTTCGCCGCCGTGTCGTCCGCATCCAGCATGCCGTATGGGATCGTATTGACACTGTACAGGTTCTTGGGCACCCATCGCAAGGGTGGCTGCGCGTAGGGGTGAGGGTTGGCGTCCGGTGTACTCTGTGTACCCGCTGCAGTCGCCGAGGCATCGTCCGCGGTCGAGTGCGGTCCTGGGAAGGCCAGGTTGAGGAACACGTAGCGGGGCGCCACACTGGAATTGCGCAGAAGATCGCTTCCGGCCTGTGACATCTCCCAGCTTCGGCAGTACTCGAGGTCGCGGTAAAATATGCCTTCGGGCGTGTCGCTGAACGCGGGCAGCTTTTGGTTGGCACGCAGCATGGACGCGCATTCGGCGGCGGTCCGGGGCAGATTGGCGCGCACCAAGGCCTTTTTTGTCGGCATGAATCCGTCCATGGTGAAGCTGGCGTCGCTCTGGCGCTCAAAGGACGTCTCTGACAAGATGGGCCAGGCCCCCGGAGATGTTCTGCGCAGGTCGTAGAGCCGTTGCGTCTTGGTAGCGAACTTGTACGCACGCGGTGGCGGCAGTCGGGTTGCCTGGCTTGCAATGTGCCGGCCCACGGCGTTGTAGGCAAACCCTTCTTCTGCGTCGTGGCCATCGTCGAGCTGGGTGTTAGGCGGCAAGAAGTGGACAAACGTCGTGAAGCCGTCTGAGCCGTCGGTCCTAGCCGTAGCAGGCTTGGTCTTGCTTCGGTTCCGGGGCATGGGCATGTCGTCTGCCGACAAAAAGAACGATGCTGGAAGGCTGTCAAGGCCCGGGTTGCCCGTGTTGACAAAAGGGCGTGCCGTAGTGCTTCCTTTGCCAGTGCCAATGACAGTGCCCGTACCGTTGCTGGTTTGGTCTGGCCGGACCGTGCGAAGCGCTGGGTCGATGTCGGCTTCGTCGTCGTGCTCCTGCCCTTCGCCGCCGTAGAGATTGCCCAGTGCCTTAAATAGGGTATGCTCCGGGGCCGGGCCCGTGCCAGTGGATTTCGTTTTGCGACGCTTGGGCGTCTGCTCGGCCGCGGGGCTGCCAATGATGTCGCCCGCCGTGAGCGTTGCTTTCCGCTTCCCGTTGGGCGTTCTTTGCTGCGACGGATCGCCGTCCTCGTCGCCGTAGCCAACAAGACGGACAGAGTGCGCCGTCGGTCTGGCCGCTTGCGGCTGGTCGTAGAAGGGCGCGCTGAGGACTTCGATCTCGGGCTGCAGCGCGCGTCGGCCTCTCACGTTCCGCCCGGCTTCCTTGTCGAGAATCTTCAAAATGGCCAGGTCCTTCTCCGTGGGTGCAAAGTCGTCCGGCACATATGTCTGCGGGAAGATGGCTTGGATGCGCGCTTTAAATTTGCTGGCTGTGGTCGAGCCGAAAAGGTCCGTGCCGGGGCGTGCCAGGAGGCGACAGTAGATGAACTGGCCCCTGGCGTCGCGGAATCCAAACGTGTGCTCTTCGACGCCCTTTGCCATTTCGAGCTTTTTGACCGCAGCCTTGACAACCGGCAGCGTCGGCGGGTCTTCGCCCGGGAACCTGCGGGTGTAGACACAAAACACAGCGTACCACAGAGAACGGTCGCCCGGAAAGATGCCGCCGTAGTAGTCGACCAGATACTGTATGATCGCCGCGACAATGTGTGAGCGCAAGGAGGACGGCGTCAGCTTCGTGCCATTCTTGGGCAGCGGCGGCATCGTAAAGCCTGCAGGCCCTGTTTTGCCAAGCGAGCCGATGCCCTCCATGTCGACGTGCGCGCGACCTGCAGGGGCAGGAGGACGTTGTGGCTCCTCTGTACGAGCCGTCGGCTGTTGCAGAGCGGCCTTGTCCACGAGTGGCGGCGTGTTGCTCTTCCGGCCGGTTGCAGCCAGCTCGTCACTCGCTCCGACGGCGTCCTCCATCGGGGTGTCTTCCATGACCACCTGAGCGGACAGTGTAGCTAGCGGCTTGGATGGCGGTGTGGTGTCCGGCAGTGTATCGGGCACGTTCAAAGGGCCGGCATCCATATCGACGTCCACGACCCGTGGCGGCGACTCGTCTGTCAAACCCAGCCACACGTGGGCCGCGCTGACAATGCCGCGGGGCCGATCGGCTGGTTCGTCGTCGCTGCTGTCCGAGTCGTGCAGTCGGTACGGTCGACGGCGGTTGCCGTGCACCTTGATCGACTGGCGGCCTTCTTTCTTGGGCGACACAGACGACGTGGCCGACTCGGACGCGACGGAGAGCGCCGGCGAGTGGGACCGGGTCGACGCTGACGACAGAGGCGAGGTTTCCCGGAAGGCGCCAGCAGGCTGCTTTCGTTCGCGAAGCGCACGGCCGCGGACGGTACGGCCTCTGGCCAGCCCTGTTCCGTTGTCGTTGTCGTTGTCGTTTTCGTTGTCCCTCTGCTCTGCCAGCCGTCTTTCTGCATCGCGCTCCTCCTTCTGCTGCCTCTTCTTGGCCTCCCTTTCTTCGGTCGAGATGGGCACGTAGTTGGGGTTGCAAGCGGTCCGCGCCTTCGTCTGGTGGTACTGCAGACCCAGCAAGTTCTTCCAGACGCCAGAGCACGTCTCGCAGACAAAGTCCTTGGTCTCTGCTGCTGGCCGTCCCTGCTTCTTGTTCTTCTTACCGCGTAGGCGACCACGATTTGGTGTTGGCACGACGTCGCCGTGGCCGTCTTGTTGTATAGCTGTGGTCTCGCCAACTTCGTCGTCGTCTTCTTCTTCTTGATGGGACTGTTGATTCTGAGGCTGCTTTGGCTGATTCGGAGATCGCAGAGCGATTAGAGCATCACGCAGGACTGCGGCGAGCTTGCCGTTGTCGTCATTCTCGTCATCCAGTATGAAGACAAAGGGCCACGTTGTGTCGGATTTGCCTTTCTGCCGGCCTGTATCGCCATCGTTGTGAGCTTCGTCGCCGTCACGGACCTCGCGTGCTTCCAAAACAATGGCTTGGCCATCGCCACCGGGTGCCCTGCGGATGACCGGATCGCCAACCAAGTTGTCGGTTGCAATGGTGATGGGCTCTTTTGAGTTCGCTGGGCGGCGGCCGCGACGGGGGGTGGCAAAGGCAAACGTGAGCGTCTTGTTGTCGTTGTCGAAGGTGAGGTGACCCGGTTTGCCGTTGTAATGGCAGGCAACCGGCACGAGGGTGCCCGCCTCTGGTCGTCCCTGCCCGTTTTGGACACTTTGTGTACGCCGGACATCCGGACCCTCATCTTCCCGGTCAGACCTTCCGTTTCTGTACACCTCGGCCTCGTCGTCTTCCTTGTCGGCCGCGCTTGCCGCGACTGGAGACTGTTCTTCCGTAACAGGAAACCTCTTCTTTGGTGGCCGTCCGCGCTTGCGCTTTGGTGGTGATGATGTCGTTTTCGCAGAGTCGGCAGCCTCCTCCAGTTCTTTGTCTTCCTTGCCAGTGTCTTCGGCTTCAGCGGCGGCCTCGGCTGGCTTGACCTTGGGTGGACGCCCACGCCTCTTTGGTGTCACAGGGGCGGCAACAGGCTGCACATCAGTGGCGTCGCCGTTCTCCACGATGGCTTCAGCTTCGACCATTTCTGTATCGGCGTCTTCAGTTTCATCGGGCTCGTTGGGCTCGTCGGGCTCTTCCGGCTCCACCTCTCTGACCTTGGGCGGCCGTCCTCGCCTGGGTTTGGGCGGTGGCGTGCCTGCGTCGACGCTGTGATCTGCACCAACTCGGGGCGAACCATGGTCTCCTCTTCCTCTGTCCCTGCCGCGGGGTGTATTCTTCTTGGGCCGGCCGGCCCTCTTGCGTACATGCAGCGCGGTGCACCTGGCCTCCTGCTCGGCCAGCTCTTGGGCCGTCATGGGCGGCGGCAGCGGCGCGAATCCGTAGAGACGGCGCAGCTCTTCGGCCGGCCGATCGAACAGCGTGCCGGCGTCGCGCAGCGCCCAGAACGTGGCGGCGTCGGCGCGTGTCGCGGCCGACGCTGCCGCCGTTTCTTGCTCAATGGCCTCGAGGGACTCGCCGTGGCTGATGCGCTCGGCCAGCTTGGCGTTCTCGAGGGTGCGGAAGAGGTAGGCCTTGTTCTTGCCGACGCGGGCGGGCTCGCAGTGCAGCTGGAACTGGCGGAGGTGGTCGGGCTGGCTGCCCGGGCGCGCCATGGCGGTGACGAGCGAAAACACGTAGCGGGCAAACGACGGGCCCAGGGTGGCGCGGCAGATCTCGGGCGACGTGATGCCGTCGATGCCGGCGCGGTCGACGGTGTCGTAAATCAGGTTGGCCAGGGGCACGTCGAGCGCCCAGGCAGGTGTCGAGCGGCCGGCGACACGGCTCCCCATGACGCTCGTCCCGGCCGCAGCATCGTCATCGCCGTCGCCGTCGCCGTCCTCCTCGTCCTCCTCGAGCGCCGCCATGCTGTCCAGCTCCAGCTCGCTCTGGTGGTCGCCGCCCGCATACGACAGCCGGCCAAGCTCCTTCTTACGCTTGGCGCGCAGCTCGGTGATGGGGGCGCGCCGGCGGCCGGCGGCCAGGTAGACGGCCCACTCGCCGGGGGTCGGGTCGCGCTCAAACTTGATGCAGTCCTTGAACAGTTGGCGCTCGTCCGGGCGCATGGCGGCGACGTACTTGAGGATGCCGGAGGCGACAAACTCGCGCGAGGCGCGGGCCAGCGTGCGCATCTGCCAGCGCAGGCCGACAATGCCCAGCTTGACCTTGAGGTCGACGACGCGGATGACGCCCCAGGCCTTGACAATGGCCAGGATGGTCTGGCCAAAGGAGGCAAATTCAATGGCGTCGCCGATCCAGCGGTTGCGCCAGGGCACGGGCGCGAGGTCCTTGGTGAGAAACTCGGGCGAGAAGTCGATGCCGCTGCTGGCGAGATCCTTGGACGACAAGAGGGCCGGGGTGGCGTCGTCGTCTGCGGTCGTTGCTGCGGCCGTTGCTGCGGCCGTTGCTGCTGCTGTCGCCGGTTCCGGTGCGCCAGAGTCGAGCTCGACAGGCGCAAACTCGGTCAGCCACAGCATGCTGGTGCGGTAGCCGCGGGCAATGGTGGTGCGCTTGACGGCGTAGCCCTTGGCGGCCAAGAAATCCGTGCGTTTCGGGACAGAGCGCTTGTCCTGGCCGACGTTGTCGCGCAGGTCGGCCTGCAGGATGCCCTTGGTGCGGGCCGACGCGATGCCCTGCAGGCACTGCCACTCGAGCATGGGCACTTTCTTGTAGTCGACGTCGTGGCCGGTCAGCGTGTACCAAATGGTCTTTTCCGTGGCGTACAAGCGTGGCCGTGTGCTCGGGTCCTCATTTGCAGCGGCTGCAGACGCGGAGGACCGGTCACCCGCACTCTTGCGGTTTCGTTTCCGCTTTCCATCTTTTGCCGGGGTTGCGAGTGATGCTGCGGCCACGGCAATCTTGTTGTCCTCGGCGTCCTCCATCGCCGGGTCAACTGGGTCGTCTGCCACGGGCGGCTGCGGCTCGGGAAGGGCGAGGGCATCGTCCAACGACAGGTGGCCCCGGTCGCCGTTGCGGCCTACCAGGATCTCGGGCCGCTCGACCAGCCAGTCCCAGGTTTTGCGGGCCAGTGGCATGTCGACAAACACGTCTGTCGACGCCGCGGTTGGTGTATGGCTGCCGCCGCCACTGTCACCGTCCACGACTTCTGTCTTGGGCTGGGAGCGACCATTAAACCGGCTCACCGCCGTCACAAAGTCCGCCACGCGGAAGCCTGGCCGGTGTCAGTATACATTCTGTGCAACAGGCGACGTGGACCGCAATACGCACCTGTCTCGCCGCAATAGGCCGTCTCGGCGACGAGCCAATCGATCAGCTCGTCGAGTCCTCTGGCCATGGCTGCGTTGCGCGTGGCCACATCTGGGGCGGTGATGAGCTACTGCGTAAGAGAATAAGGTGACAGTGAACTTTAAATGAAATGAACGTCCGAGGTAGCTGATGGATGCTGATGTGCTGTGGATGTCGTTGATGATAAGCAGCAATAAAAGGCAAAAAAGTGTAAATGGAGCTCCAAAAAATTGCACAGGGCGGGGCTCGAACGCGTGTAGTCTTGCGCGCGCAGCGTGTTTTGCACTGGGGCAAATGCCAGAATTAAAGTGGCTCCACTTTTTAAGTTCGCCACAGCTCAAAGCCCAAAGGCAATGCCGACAGCTGTGTTCTCTACCCTTGTCCAGGTAGCGCAGAGCACGGAAAGATGGAACACAGCAACCTACTGCATCGTCTTGGGCTCGCATGAGATCTACGCTGTCACAGCCAATTGTTGTCTTGTCTACGTATGTGTCTGGCATGGGACGTAGTTGCAATGACGAGTCGCAGTCACGTGGTCACGATGAGAAGGGATTCGGTTGCTTTTGGTTGATGCTCTAGACCGCACCAATGATTGTATTACCGCTTTATTCACGGTTGCTACTTGCTCTCGGCTCTCGCTGTATCCTCACGTTGGGAGGACCCGCGTGCCCTTGCCTCGGGCCCGCTCGCCGGGTTTCGTGACACGGCCCGCGGCCACGGCACCCAGTCGCCGGTTGACGCCCTTCTTGGCCGACGTGCCGACCTTCAGCCGGGCCACCGCCGCCGCCACCTCGGCACTGCCTTGCCCGCCGCCTGCCTTTTTCTGCTGCGCAAACTTGAACTTGCTGCTGTCAATCTTGGTCAGCTCCGGCGGCGCGGCGACGGTGCCGTGGACGCCAGCGCGCACGGTGCTCTGGGTAGCGGCGGCCTTTTTGCGGTTGAACGCGGCCCAGACGTCGTCGTCGTCGGCCGCGCCGTAGTTGTTGGCACTGCCGCCCAGCGTTTGTAGTTGCTTCTTCTTTTTCTTGCCGTTGGCGCCGCCGCCCTGCTTGGTCGCCAGGCCCTGCTGGAAGTCGAGGCGCCACTTAACGCCCAGCGTCTCGTCGAGCTCGGCCTCGCGCTCTTCGGCCTCTTCGCGGGCCTCGGCCTCGCGCTCCTTGATGCGCGCGTCGTCCAGGCGCCACTGGTCGTACAGCTTGTGCAGCTTGCGCTCCTGCTTGGTGCGGTACGTCTTGGCGATGCCGAGCGGGTCCTTGCCGCCGGCGCCGCCGGGCGTAGACGATTTGACGAGACCGGCGAGGGGCAGGGCCGCGTCGACGCGGGAGGCAAACTCGGACAGGCGCTCGCCAGGGCGGATTGTGAGGGCTTCGGTGGGCGCAGCATCTGAAGCAGAGGCAGAGGTAGAATGAGGAGGAGCTGCAGCTGCTGCTCCTGCCGCCTGCGTTGTGGGCGCGCCAGCCTCTTCATCGTCACCCCCGGCCGTCGTCGCCGCTGCCGCTGCTGCTGCTGCCCGCTCTTTTGCTAACCGCTGCTTCTTCTGCTTCTTCGTCTCCACGACACCCGTGTCCAGGCCCTGTCGAACGCGCTTGCCGCCTGTCAGGGACATGAGCCGGCGGAAGGCGCGCGGTGTGTCATGGCTGGCCTTGGTACTGGCGCTGATGCTGTCCTTGTTGGCCTCGCGTTTCCGTCTTGCGGCGGCACTTGTTGCGGTGGCACCCTTGCCTCCTTTGGCCTTGCTCGACTTGGTTGTGCTCGTCTTGGCCGACTCGGTCTTGGCTGGTTTTGTAGGCAGTGGCCGGGCGATGCGGTCTGGGGGGAGGTCGTAGCTGTACGGAGCAAGCGGGTCAGCGGGTCAGCGGGTCAGCGGGTGGAAGTGACATGGAGGTGGCTGCTAATGGTATATTCTTACATAGAGGCATCTTGGTCCCGCCGAGTGTGTTTGTGAGGCATTGTGGAAGGCTTGGAGGAGGGTTGGATAGGACAGAAGAAAAGGAAATCGACAATCGATCGTGAATGGGCGCGCAACGAAGGCGCCCCGTGGTTACGTGGTCGCGGGGTCGCCGAATAGTACCGTTCAGACTCAGAAGAGAACCGAAAAGATCTTGGTGTGGGTTCTGGTTGTACGATGTCGCGACGTTGTGTATAGGCTCGAATGCGTTGTTGTAAGATGGTTCTTACTGCAGAAAAAGCTTATCGTATTTTTTTTTGGAAGTTGTTATCGATAAGCAGATTGTTCCGACAGTGTAAGATACGTTCGACCTAAACACCTCCATTTTCAGCCTTTAGACTAAGTCTTTAGCAGCTGTTTGGGCATCTTTCTAGGCTCCTTTCTACAGGGAATATCCACTAACACGAGGAGTGGGTCTCAACAGAGCAGGCGCGAGCCACTAAAACACTCCATTTCTGGCTTTACACTGCCATCGAACCACGATCAAGCATGAGCGTCTCCCAATAAGAGACAAACATCCGCATGTCCTGCTTCACTTGGCTGCGTTGCGAAAAATAAAAGTCGACAGAAGAGCTTGGCTTGCATCCACGTCCCAGAAGTTGCACCATTTCACAGCACGCTCTTGTACCTCGCCTCCCTCCCCTTCAGTATCTGCCTTGTCCTGGCCCGTTTTCATGTTTTTTTCTTGTCCGGACTGTATCTAGTTTGTTGTCCGTACAAAGCTCGTCAATCTTCCAACTCTAATAACCTCACTTCTCGTCTACTACTTGCCTCAGTCTTGACTATGAAATCACTTACAGGCACACGTACGCGGCCTCATGGTGCGATGGCGGAGCCTGTCAGCATGGCCGTTGAGTGCACATCACATAGTGGACTACCCTTGTCAGCGAAAGAGTGGATTCGTTACGCGTAGACGACATCTGGGCGGCCTCGCGGCTGGGTTGCACGACGATGCAATGGGTCCAATGTCGAGAATACAGAGTATCGCCTTGTCCATAAATTGGCTACATTCGTCGACTCTTGGCGGAAAAGAGGAGCAAAAGTGGAAGCTGCTTGGGAAGAGGGGAGATTGAGGGCTAACAGATGCCGGTTTATGTCCGAGCCACGAGAGCTCGAGGAAGGAGCTGTCCGTGTGGTACAGGGAAAGAGCGACTGGCGAGCGTATTCTGGCCATTTCTACAGACTTTCGAGGCATTTCTGTTTTTACTTGCATTTCATTCTGTTTGTCTTTTCTTGGATTTTTTTTGTTTTCCTTTGCCAAAAGTGAATATCATGATGCCCATTATTTCCATTTGTTTTAGTACGTAATAAAGAATATGAATCGTAGCTCATAGTTATCACCCTATCTCCAGATTGCGGGGTCAGCGCATTGCCACGCTTTGGAGAAGACCCATCGAGATGTCGCATCGCTCTTGCCGTGCTTGGCCATTGTATCTATCCATATATCCGTCTCCCTTGTCCTTTTGGCAGCGGGGTTTTGTCACAAGTTAACTTGCCAGAAACATCTCAGGACAACGAAACACCAAGAGCATATCACAATATCGAGACAATATTAAAACAATATAAAGACTAAGAACTGAACAAAAGCAGCTTTGCTCGATATTTACGACCCATAGACAACTCCACATCCACCAACCGCCAACATGCCGGACCAGCCCAAGCTCGCGTCACTTGATGTATGTCGAACTGGAAAGGAAACACACTTAAAGAAAAGCATTGCTAACAAGTTTGGCCGCACGGCCATCTAGGACTCCATCGTCTCTCGCCTCCCTTCGCACGCCCAGTCCCTCTTCGCCGCCAAGACCGAGCGCGGCCTCACGTTTGCCGCCATCGCCGAAGCCCTGGGCCGCAGCGAGGTCGCCGTCGCCGCCATCTTCTACGGACAAGCCACCGCGTCCGAGGAGGACGTCGCCAAATTGGCGCCTCTGCTGGGACTGGACCAGGCGACCCTCCTCTCCCAGATCGGCGGCGTCTTCCCCGACCGCGGCCGCGCGGGCCCGATGCCGCCTGTCGAGCCGTTGATCTACCGGCTCTACGAGATTGTGCAAAACTACGGCTACGCGTACAAGGCGGTTATTAACGAAAAGTTTGGGGACGGCATCATGAGTGCGATTGCGTTCAGCACGACGGTGGACAAGGAGGTGGACGGGGACGGCGTGGCGTGGGTGAACATTAAGCTGCGCGGCAAGTGGCTGCCTTTTACGCGGTTTTAGGGGAGATGGCGCGTTGAGCAGGCGAAGAATAGATAAGAAGCAAGGTCGATGGCAAGCGACGACAAGTTGAGAAGCAGGATGACAAGAAGAGGGATATGGGCGTCTCAAACTACTGGGAATAGATGTTTGGATATTTCGAGGCTACGTCGTTGGCGAGAAAACAGAATGACCCCGGCTGAAACCGAAAACGGAAAATGTAGGTTGTACAGATGTAAATGAACTGAGGTGCATGCGCAGTACTGGCGGCCAGCTTTGCGTCAAGGATGCAGGGCGTCTTGATGTCGCCTCACAAACATCGACAACAGCAACAAATAAATGGCTTCCGAAGTGCAGCCAACACAACGACGGCAGAAAGATGTCGGATCGAGTTGGTTCAAAGAGGAGGAAATGGAGAGAAGAAAGTGAAGAAAATACCACAACAAGATGCACTTCCATTGGATTCTGGAGGTGATTGTGTCGCTCGAGTGTTGTGGTAATGACGACGAGATGCACCAATTGAGAGCACTGTTAAGCGAAATCCACTGTACCGAATATAACGCTACAGTATAAGTCCGGAAACGTGGGCGCTGAGACATGGTCGGGGTAGAACAATCGCAACGCTAAAAGCGGAACAATAGCAAGGCTGCCGGCGCTAGCAAGCAAAGGGCTCTTTGATGCCAGCCTCGTCCACCAACAGCCTCGCAAATGTCGACAAACGACGTCAAGCGAGGTTGGCATCGACGATGGGCGAACGAAAATGTCCATTCAGCAGAAAGCAGAGCAGTTGCAGTAAATTTCTCTTGCTTTACTCGCCTGCCCTTGTTCCTGGTTTAGCCCAGAGTCGAGGACGAATCAAAATGTTAATTAACAAAGTAACAATTCAAAAAAAAAAGAGAGAAAACGAGAAAACGAGAAACGAAAACAAAAGTCACCATCGTGCATTTCTCTACGAAAACTGACAGGCAGCAATAGTATGAATGTCTTCTCTGTGAACAGCTGATCTCTCGTCTCTCCTCGGTCCCGAGCTTCCAGTCTAGAACGTGGCCGGCGTCTTCTGTAATGTCCACGTCTTTGACCGAGGTGAGAACAATACCAACGCTAGCAACAGGACAATATCAACCAGGACAAGGCAGACTTCGCCAACGAGACAAACAAAACAAAAAAATACAGCCAACATATGCTTCTAGAACAGGGACAGAACAAAAGGCTCGTCGTACGTTCCCCCGGCATATTGGTGCAGAACGAGGCAGGACATGGAATCGGGTGTCGGTGGGCGTTGCCGACCACGAACACTCATGCGGCAACCAACAAGACAACGTTTTGCAACGCACCAAAGTGGCTTATCCGACGATTGTTCGAGTCAGTCAAATCTAGGAGCATGCTCTCGTAAGGTCAACATCTCTTTGAAGTCGACGATTCTTGCTATGATTGTCGACCATCAGATCCACTCCATATCCACCCACACCATCTACATTTCTCTCTCCTCTCTCCTCTCCACTCACCTTGATAGTACTCCTTTCTTTCAACCTTGTAAAATGAACAACTTGCATTGACAGGGTCACCCTCCTTTCTCTTTCGGGCTACCGTAACCTGATGCAGTCCACGTCCACGAATCCAGATAGATGGCAATGTCCGCCATCCCGTTTTGACCCCTTCGGTCTCCCTGAAGGCCCTTGCTATTGTCCTCTTGCACTCCTAGCCGTGCGTCTTATGTCTCCGCCCCTCCATTCTATTGATATTGTTCCTCTCCCGCCAGAGGCAAGCCTGAACATGCTTCTTTCTCTTGTCGTTTCGTTGAGTTTCCTTTCTTTTCTGCTGCTTTTGCCTCCATGTTCAGACTCCCTCGCGACATGTTGGATGGTCATCTGCGTCCTCTAGCGTGATATCCTCCTACTTTCTTTATTCTTCCGTCTTCTTCAAACATGCTTCTTTCAGTGCGTGTTCTCTCTGCCTTTGACAAGCTTCTTTCAGACATCTGCTCGATGTCGACTCGCTGAGAAACAACACACCAACGTCACAACTCCACCACTCCCCTGCGTTTGACCGCCCGACCATACGCTGCCTTGATGACTTCACAGTCTTCTCTACCGTGTCTCTCTGTTTCTCTCTGTCTCTGTCTGTCGACTCCTTCTCAACCAATTTGACCGTCGATTTCGCATATATATAGTCCCCTTCTCACTCGTCTTCATCTCATAATTTTCCCCTTCTCTTCTCTTCATCCACAATCATCGCTTCCAATCTTCACTTCTACATTTTCTATACAAACTTTTCTTTGTTTTTTTTTAAAAACCAAATCCACCACAGAATCAAAATGGACGCCCAGACCGCTACTCAGTCTACCCAGGTTGGCTACGTCACCGGGGGCTCCTGCACCATCATGTAAATCGCCGGTTCTTTCTTGTTCCCCGAAATGGAACAGAAAAGCGGCGATGTGCATGGTTCTTGTCTCCGCCTCTGAGAGAGAGCTGATTGTCAACAGTCTTTGAGGGCTTCCCTCTGAGATCGCTCTCCGGACGAGACAACATGATGCTACAACGACCCGACAACAACAAAAAAAGAAAAAGAAAAAAGAAAAAAAAAACCACTTGTTTTTCGGCTCCCGATAAAAAAAAACACTCCCTTTCGAAACAACTCAAAAGAGTCTGGAAAGAGTACAGTCCCCAAAACCTCTTTCAATATACTTCTTAATCTTCTGATGGAGAAACGGTGCAAGAATGGACGGAGAAGCATTCGCCATTCATTGTTTTTGTCTTCTCTCCAGACCAACGGGCTGTCTGCATCATGCTTTTTGTTCCCATTTCTCTTATCTTTTCATTTTCATATCTGGTCTCTATTTATGCTCTTGTCCTTGGATAATCAATAATCGGGATCTTGGGATGGAAACGGGAGGGAAAGGGTGGCGGGAACGGGGAAATTTGTTCGCAAAGGGTGGACAGCTTGCCGGTGCGGACGGACCTTGCCTATATGTTTCCTTTTTTCTTATTCTTGCTCCTAATTTTCTTCTCGACAGAGCACCCTGTCCTATAGTAAAATACAGGCCCACGACTCGACATGGTCGTGGGTTCTTTGAACGAACCTTTTTTTAATACTCAATACGATGTGATTTTTCAAACCTGTCTTGACTTGCATGTGATTCATTGTGGCTGCTCGAAGTGACTCTACCGTTTCATTTTCAAAGTCTCTCTCTATCAATACGGCAATACGGCCATCAACAAGATCCGCCACCGCCACTCAACGGCGCAGCCATCCCTTGCCGTTCTCCACGTACCCCCGCTGCTCCATCTTGTCCACGTCCTCCTCCTTGCCGGCCGCCCAAAAGTCCAGCACCGCCGGCAGTTTCGTGTACGCATGGAACGCCGCCTTGTCCCGGAACCGCATCAGCAGCCGCGCGTCCGTGTCGACGTCCTGGCTCGCAAACGCGACCCACGTCAGGATGCCGCCGTCCTGCGTCGGCGCCGCCGCCTCAATGGCAGGCGCCAACGCCGTCAGCCGCGCCGCCACGCGGTCCCGCGCCTCGGCCGACGTGCACTTGATCTTGACGTCGTACATGAAGCCACAGGCGCGGCCGTCGCCGGGCCGATCGAGAAAGCCGCCGACGCGGGCGTAGTGCTGCAGGTCGAAGCCGGTGGTCATGTTGGGCAGGGCGACGGGGATAAACTTCGTCTGCATGGTCGGGCTGGTAAAGTGGACGTGGTAGAGGCTGTCGCGCTTGTCGTAGACCTCAAAGGCAAACATCAGCGGGGTGTTCTCGACGTCGTCGGCAAAGTCGCAGGGAATGCCGAAATAGTACGTTTCGGTGGTGGGCTCTTCGGCCCAGACGTACTTGGCGAGTTCATCGTAGGCGCCTTGCCACTGGGAGAGTCAGCGGTTGTTCTTCCGTGTGTCTATGCAATTGTTTTCTGCAAAGAAAATCCATGGGCATGAGGAACCTACTGTGTTGTATTTGCCTGGCAAAAAGTGCACAAAGGCAAAGAGGTAGAGTTTGTCGTCTTGCGTAGTAAAACCCATTGTAGTAGCTGGGAGTGTGATGGGGTATGGGGAAGGTGAATATGGAAGCGAGAGGGAAGAAAGCAATTAAATACAAATGCAAAAAGAAGACGAAAAGTTTCGTCGTCAACTGCTTCCGTCGAGACTGTTATATAAAAGAACAACATACTTCACATGCCTTATTCCCAACAGCAGAAGAGGCCATATGAAGAGGGGAAACACTTGCAACAGCTTCGACAAAACGAACCACCAACACGTAATAGTAGATTCGTCTCAAGTTTCAAAGCATCAAAAGTATGGGGTAGCAATGCCCTCTAGCGGCACCTCGATGGAGCTGTCTTGGAGTAGTTTTTCGTGTTAGGAGCAATCGCTGACTCGCCTTTCTTCGGCAGCCGTAGTCCGACGGTATACGAATTGGGGACGGCGCTCTGTCACCATATCGCAGCTTGGTGGAAACTGAATTCGACGGTGTTATGTCAACTCTCGAGCGCCGTCTCCAAAAGACCTACTGTGGAGAATCGACTAACACGGATAGACAGTTGTGATTGGCCGCTGTCAAGGTCACAGGAAGTGGAAAGAGCGGAGACAGGGACCACACCCACCCGAGCCACCCCAATGCTCAGTGTGGGGGACAGCTCTTTCCCTGCAAAGCTCAAAGCATCTGTGGCTCGGATTGCTTTACCCGGATTGGGCAAAGGGAGACCTGCGGAAGGTGCGATTGGTGTTGTCCTCCGTCCTCTACATCATGTGACGAAAGTGGACTACAGGCACATCGTTGGCAGTCTGTAGCCATTGCTGGATCGCCATGGAAAACGACTGGCAGACCTTTCTCAGCGACGGCCTCCGTGTGGACCATCTCCGTCCGCCCACCGATGGCCGTTCGTGTCCGCTGTCTGTCGTGTGTGTCTACTGACCGGCATTGGCTACTTTTCTTGTGTTCATTATTTGGGGTCAGTCGCTCTTTCCTGCACATCTACAAATCCACGGTGGGTCCAGGATGGTGGAGGACGGACAGGAGGCAGGAGCGATAGACGCTGCTTGCCACCGTCACGTCATCCATCGTAGAGTAAAACACAAATTGTCACAATATTTAATCCTCGTTAAACATGATGGATTATGCGGTATATGAACGGTTGTCCGTATACAGAGTACAGTGTGTACTAGAAATCAGGTGCGTGGTATCGATGTGGTGATCTTGAACTGTCCTGTCAACATCCCCTCTCCTCCTGTCCCCATTCCAACAACGTATCCATCCCTTTTCACAGCACTCCCAATTGCCTCACCCCTCACTCTCCCTTTCAAACCTCTAGTGGTACTTGTTCTTGTCGGCGTTGACGTCGTTCTCGAGGTAGATCTCAATCTTGTTGTTCATCTTCTTGTCAATGTCGTTGCAGCAGATGCAGGCGATGATGGCGACAATGCCAAAGGACAGCGACGACAGCGCCGTCGTGCGCACGCCCACAACATACGCCTGCTGGTAGGCCTTGCCGGCGGCGGCGATGATGGCGTCGGTGATGCCGGGAACCGCCTCGAGGGCGGTGGCGCCGAGCGGCAGGGCGGCCAGCAGGGCATCGACCGAGGACGCGGGCAGGCCGGCGGCCGTGGCCGCGGCGGGGACGAGCGCCTTCATGTTCTTGGTGGTGACGTTGGACAGGATGGTCGAGAAGACGGTGATGGCGACGGCGCCGCCGGCGAAGCGCGACACGCCGGCGAGACCCCCGGCGATGCCGAGCTCGACCTGGTCGGTGCCAAACTGCACAAAGGCAATCGACAGATACTGGGCCCAGCCGAACCCGATCTGCTCGATGAATACGAGGGCAATGGCGAGGCCCTTGCGCTCGGGCGTCACCAGCCCCATGAGGGCGCCAAAGAGGACCATGATGAACACGGAGCCCGTCAGCGTCCAGCGCCAGTGGCCGATGCGGGTGCCGAGGACAGACAGCAGGAAGGCGCCGAAGCACAGGCCGAGGTTGGCCGGCAGCGTCAGCACGATCTGGTAGCGGAAGCTCGTGTTGGCGTCGGTGAAGAAGACGTTGATCATGGTCGGGTAGATGACGTTGATGGCATAGTAGAACATGGTGACGACAAAGGCGGCCACAAACGGCGCCGTCAGGTCGCGGCCCCGGCCCTTGGTGAAGACGCGCGTGGGCGTCAGCGGCTGCTTGAGGGGCACAAACGTCTCGTACAGAGCAAAGACGAGCAGCGTGCCGAGGCCGGACACGAGCGTGCCGACGACCTTGGGGTCGCTCGAGGGCAGCTGGATCGAGTAGTTGATGCCGACGAGCGTCAGCACGGCGGCCACCGTGAACAGCAGGGCGCCGCCGTAGTCGAGCTCGCGCACGGCCTGGCGGAACGGCAGACCGCGCGGGTGGGCCGGCGGGTAGTAGTACAGAAACAGGCCGAGGAACGAGAGCGCGGCGGCAATGGCCGGGCCGTAAAACAGCCAGCGCCAGGCGGACGTGCTGACGGCCACGGCGAAGCGGCCGGCCACGGGGCCCACGACAGCACTAAAAAGCACAAACAGGTCGGCAATGACAATGGCAATGTGGCGCCACTTGTTGGGCAGCAGCTCGGGCAGCGCAAAGGCGGCGAGCTGCGCGTTGCCCGCGCCAAACCCAATCAGGCCCATGGCCGCCAGCATGGCCGTGTTGTTCTTGGCGGAGCCGCCGACAATGAAGCCGACAAACAGCAGCACGTTGCCGCCGGTGATGAACCAGCGCCGGCCAAACAAATCGCTGTTGGCGCCGCAGATCATAAACGCAATCGTGATCGTGATGAGGTAGATCGAGACGTACCACGCGTACGCCGTCGGGTCGCCGAGCAGCGTGGCGACGGTGGGCGCGCACGAATTGATGGCCGGCACGATCCAAAAGGAAATGCCGTAGCTGGCCGACAAAATAAAGACGACAATCCACGTCTTGAAGGTGACGTCGTAGTCTTCGTCGTTTTCGGGAATGTAGCTGTGCGACGCTGTTGTACCGGCCGCACCGCCGCCTTCCGCGCGCTCGACGGCGGCCTTTTCGTTGTCGTGCGGGCCCACGGCCGCCGAGGCCTCGTGCTCGGACGAGCTGTGCTCCGTGGCAGCCGCAGCGGGCACCTCGTGAGCGACGGCTGTCTGGGCAGGCTGCGTGTCAGCCATGGCGAGAAGATAAAGGAAAAACAAAAGATGTGTTGTTGGGGTATCTGGGTATCACGACAATAAAGAAAACAAAACGAGATGAGAAAACACGTCTCCGAAGTATGGGAGAGAGAAGGAGAAAACAAAAGAACAGAAGGGGTCAAGGACAGGGGGGTGGATGCACCTTGATATAGACTGAGCCCAGGGGACAGTCAATATGACATAAATAAAAATAAAAAGACGGCAAATAGGTAGGGGGTAGCTCTGGGGGTCAATGGGAGTTGGGAGGTTGTGGTTGGATCGACGACAAGGGGCGACCGGCGTAAATTCACACCTGTTTTGTTTGGGTAAGCTTGTTTTCTTTTCTTATTTTTTTTTCTCCTCTCTCTTTTGTTTTTCCTGTCCCTTTTTTTCCTTCTTCCATATTGTCTTCTCCTGAGTACCATCTTAATTCTTTTGGAGTTGTATTCAAGGCCTCTCCGGTTGACAGCTATGACCGAAGAACATTGGTTCATTCTCATCTCTGATCTCCTTCACATTTGATTTTGACATCACCTCGAATCACCGTGATGCTCTCCAGAGCGCACCTCACACTTCCAGTCGTCGGTCCGCATTTCGATTTCGATCTGCGCTACGACCACGCCGTCTGTCGCCAAACGACAAACTAGAGCCTTTGTGCCGAGTGTTGGATTCCATTTCCCGGCACTTGTGACGCGATCCTGGGACAGTCTCTCGTTTCGGACAACGTTTTCTCTAGCCCATGACTTTCATCCTGTCTTTAGTCGCCTCTCAAATGAGCCAAGGCTGGTTGTGTTTGCATGCATGTCGTATAACCTGTAGTTCATCGGTGTCTGTCCTTATTTCTCCATTCTTTGCTCCGTGTCCTGCCCTACGCCTTGTTGGGGCTAGGCCGGGGTCTGGTGATGCCAGTATCAACATTATCTAGTCGTTTGTTGACCTTGCCGACATCATATACGTTTAGATATGAATGACTCTCTTTTTGCTTGTGTAATTGCCGGGCTGCTAAGTCCCCCAGTGTTTTTGGTCGTTTTGTCTTGTCCTTTTTTCTGGTCAATTGCGCAAAGTGTTGTGGTAATTTTGAGCATATGAGCAACCTTAAAAATATGGTGTAAGTGATCATACTCCGTAAAAAGTCCGAGTAATTGGCATGAAGATAGCCGTCCAGGTCACCAGATGCAAGCAAATCCCGTCCATATTGCACTCATATCACTACGAGGTAGACGAGCGAGATCGTCCTTTGTCTCATGCATTTCGAAATTTGGCATCGCTTGTCTCTCATCTGTGTCCCGTTTTTATTCATTTCATGCTTTTGTTGTGTCTCTTTTGGTCAAAATCAGTCCACTTACTAGGGTCCCCGGAAAACAACATCCAGACCATCCACCCACTAGCACTAACACGACCACTCAACCACACTCACAGCTAACGAAAAGACCCTTTGGAAAGTCAGGGGTTGTGACGTGCGGGGAAAATCTCGACGCACATTGTTGGTGTGAATTTGCACCGAGTCACATTACGAAATCCGTCCCATTCGCTCCGCTGTCTTTGGCATCTATTACTTCGTATGAATTGCCTCCTGGTTTTCTCCTCACGCCTGCTTCCCTCTCTTCTGCCGCCGTCTTAAGAAAATTGGACAAGATAAACACGAACACTGTGCAAAACAATAAGGTATTGCGTCGTAAGGGCGGTCAGTGGCTGCAAAATATGAGTCGTTCTACATACATGTACCACCACACAAGGTCACGCTACACGGTGAACATATCCCTTTCGTTTGTCGTTTTCCATGTAACGACAAGACCGAGATGATCGTGGGAGAACTGCGAAAGAAAGCAATGACGAAATCAGAAGCAACCCGGCCACAGCACGGCGCTCTGGTTAGACAAGCCACCTCGAATCGGTCACGCGGCGGTCAGAAACAAGACGCCACAAGAACCAACTCGTTACACGTAAGTCAAAACTGTAAAATCATGTGAGAAGCGACAGAGATCGTCTTCATTGGCGTCTTCTTTACGGAACGCCTTATTTCTGCTATCGTTTTCCTGCGTCACAATGTTTTTTTCTTCTTTTTTTTTTCAATTCTCACTGTAGTACCTTGTATATTCAATCCTCTTCCGCGTCACGTCGTGTTGTCTTCCTTGCATTCGCCGTTTACAAGGTCGTTTCACAAAATGACACCCAATGTTGCCTTGAACTGTGACCAACAGATAATACATAGGCAACCCACGTTGACCCCCATACTCAGCAATACTGTTGGTGATGAGAGCGCATTTTCTGACAGCTGTACGACATATGTTGTATGTCGTATGCTGTACAGAATACGACAGTAATGTCACAACATGGGGGTCAACTCCCGTCGTTGGTGGGACATGGACCACTCTATTTAGTGTTACGGCCGCTTCCGCTGTCGTTGTCAGCAGGAGCCAGTATAAAAAATGCACGTGATATATCACGTTAAACTGCATTTGACACGTGCTTCTTATCGAAAGCGGTGAGGACCGTCTCCACAATGTCACATATCAAGATACGGCAAAAAAAAGAAAAAGTTGAAATTTCGCCGGGGCCATTTTCGCTGGGTCGTAGAGCGACGCAGATGGGGGTGCGCATTGGACTTTTGTCGAGCATTGATTATTTTGAGTCTTCCACGACAACGCCCACCCGCACACGACCACAACCACACATACCGACATAATGGGACGAAGCAAGCTCAGAGTTGCGCTGGCTGCCGAGAAGGGCACCGACTTCAAGAAGCTCAAGGAAAAGAAGAAGTACAAGGCCCACCTCAAGGAGAAGGCCAAGAAGGTTGCTCATCGTGAAGAGGAGGGGGACGATGAGGATGACGAAGACGAGGAGGACGAGGAGGAGGACGAGGAGCGCGGTGCTTTGATTGACGACGAAGCGTCGGAGAGCGACGGCGACGAAGAGGACGAGGAGGACGAAGAGCTGGGTGTAAGTCAAGATGGCGATAACCCATGGACAGAGTGCAACCGTACTCGAAACAGAATGCTGACCACCTCGCTTGCAGGCTGACTTTATTGCCGCCATGAACGACTCTGACGACTCCGACTCCGAGGTCGAGATGGAGGAAAAGATTGCACGGCCGAAGACGGCCGACAAGGACGCGAAGACAAAGAAGACCAAGACGACCAAGGCGGCCGCCGACGACGACAACAAGGACGAAGAGGACGACGAAGAAGACGACGAAAACGAGCTTGCCTGGTCCGACGTCGACGAGGAGGAGCGGGCCGGCCTCGTTGTCCGCCAGCGCCGGACCATCAACAACACCGCCGCCCTTACCGCCTCCCTCCTCCGCATCCGCATGTTCGCCCCCACCGACACCTCCGTCCCCTTCCAGCTGCACCAGAGCGTCACGTCTGCAGTGCCCACCACCAGCCACCCCGACGGCACGCCCATGGACATGTCCGACGACAAGGTCCGCGAGCAGGCGCTGTACGCCCAGAGTCTGGCGGCCGCCGTGGAGGCCCGCCGCCGCCTGCGCAAGGAGGGCGTTCCCTTCTCGCGCCCCACCGACTACTTTGCCGAGATGCTCAAGGACGACGGCCACATGGCACAGGTCAAGGCGAAGCTGGTGGAGGCGGCGACGGCGCAAAAGGCGTCCGCCGAGGCCCGCAAGCAGCGCGACCTGAAGAAGTTTGGCAAGAAGGTGCAGGTCGAGAAGATGCAGGAGCGCGCCAAGGAGAAGAAGGAGACGCTGGAGAAGATTAAGAGTTTGAAGAGAAGTGAGTTGCCCAATGCCCCCAATGGTGCCGACGAGAGCTCACCCACGCCCTTGTTCATCCCTGTTGCTAACCACCGCCACCACCCACTTCTACAGAACGCTCTGAATTTGGCACAGCGAGCACACACGAATCGGACGCCTTTGACGTGGCCATTGACAAGGAGCTGTCCGCCGGCGCCGGCCGCGGCGCCAAGGGCGGTGCTCGTGGCGGAGCTGCGGGCGGCGGTGTCAACGCCAAGCGCCAGAAGAAGAATGAAAAGTACGGTTTTGGCGGCAAGAAGCGCCACTCCAAGTCAGGTGATGCCCTGTCGTCGGGTGACCTGAGCGGGTTCAACGCCCGGAAGATGAAGGCCGGCGGCAAACCGGGACGCGGCCGGGCAACAGCGACGCGGCCCGGTAAGGCGCGGCGACAAGCAGCTGCAAGCAGACGGTAACGGTAACGGGGGGCGACGGGATGGCTGGAAGGAGTCCAAAAAGGCTGTGTTCACATTTTGTCTATTGTCCAAAGGATGCATCTCTTGTTTCTATTATCTGTCATTGCCGTGTTCCATTTCATAGATTTGTCTGTGCCATTTCCATCGTGTTGATTTTATAAACGTCCATGTCCCAGGTCCTCGCTGAGGGCTAATTGTTCGGTACAATAAACCTGACCAGACAGCACCTTTCTCTCGTTTCTCGCCTTATTCTTCGGTCTTTATAACGTCGTGGGGCCCTATCCCATTGCAATCCAGTTACTTGTCACTTCGCATGTCATCATGTGCCTTGCTGTTTGAAATCTTTTGCTATTTCGATTTGTCAAGTCAAGAGAAATAAAGCTGATCTGGATATAAGAATACTAAAGCCGGCCAAAAAGAAAACGGACAAAAAGAGACAGACATGCCGACGAACCGCTTTGATAATGATAATAAGATGGGGTGGAGTCTTTGACAGGAAAAAAAGTGTTCAATGTGACAAATGGGTGAAAGAGACATGATGTTGAGAAAGGAAGATGAAAAAAGTAACGACAGACAAATGAAAAGAAGACGAGGGCATGACTAGCGAAAGAACCAAACAGGAAGACGAAGAATAACGCGCAAAGGGGCGATAGTGCCCCCAGGATGCCGTGCCATGCGTATTGGGTTTTGTATCCTCCCAGACGTAAAAATGAAAAAAAAGACGATAGGAGACAAGAAACATCACGTTCGTGCTTGCCAACAGTGGGCGGACGTAATGCTTTTCGGTGCAACGTTTGACGTGGTGTCCTCGCATTCTGCGTCCCGCGAATGTAGGTGGCATTGGTCCAGAAGCCGTCCCATTTTGTTTTTCTCTGCCGTTCCGAGACCAGACGATATCCCAAGATCGGAGCAGGTGGAAAACCAGGACGTAAAACAACCAGCCACTATAGAAAAGAATCAATGGCATCCAAAATGAAAACAAGGAAGACGAGAAACGAGCAAAACAAGAGGCAGGCCAGGGAAGAAGAAGAAAAAATAATAACACCGTTCCGATCCCCCCCATCATTAATGCATCAATGCTGTGTGAATTGTAGATTTTCTTCGTTTTTTTTTCTTGTTGTCGTCTTGTTCGTTTCGTGTTCACCGGGCGGCGGCTTACTGCGACGCTGCAACGCACCAGTGGCGGTGGAAAGCCCAGGCGCTCTTCTGGCACTCCTTGCTGCAGTACTTTGTGCGCCGGCAGCGGCGGCACTTAGCAAACTGCCGCGTAAACTTCTCCCACTTGCCGCACTGATAGTAAGCGCACTGGCGAATGCCGCCACGCGACTCGTCTTTGCGGCACAAGTTGCGCATGACCACGCCGGCCCAGTACTGCATGTCGGTGCTGTGGTAGCGGACAGTGAACTTCTCGACGAGGGGGAAGATGTTGAGGTCGTTGGGTAGCAGGTACTCTTCTTCCTCGTCTTCGGCGCCGTCGTCGGAACCAGTCGTCGCCGTGCTGTTGTTGCTCAGAGCGCCGATGCTGCCAGAGATACCAGGACTGTCGTTTTCCAGGTCGCCGTCCTCCATCTTCACGACGGTGGCGCTGTTACCCATGCTGTCAGAACCGCTCAGGTCGTCGCCATCGAGCAGCTGCAGCTCCCTGCCGATCTTGAGGCGCGGCACCAGGTGGCTCTTCTGGAAGTAGGAGCGCAGGTTGCAGTACTTTGAGACGTAGGCCAACAGCTGCAGCGACATCAGGACGTCCTCCTCCCGCGGCATCGAGGCAATGACCTGTGGGTGGGGTGTCAGCTGGCGGTCGAGGAGGTAGCGGGGCACGCTTGCGGTCGGCATGACGGGCTGCTGCGCCGTGACCATGGGCGGGCGGTTGGGCGACAGGCCCATGGCGGGAACGGGCGCCGTGGTGGCAGCCGGGGTAATGCTGCCGTCAAGCGGACCGCGGTGCGTAATGTTAAACGCGCCCGTGTCCTGCGTCTCGGACACCGTGGGCGTGGTCAGCTCGAGCGACTCGCCACCCAGCATGCTGTCCGCCTCCTCCATGTTGATGTCCTGGATGTCGACCGTCCCCTGCATCTCAGCCGTGCCCGACATCTCGGCGTCCGGTGTCTCGTCGGACTGGACGCTCTCGGCGTTGAGATCGTCGACGTCAGCAGCAGGACCCGACGTGGAGGTCTGGTGGCGGATCGATGGCCGTCTCCGTGACCGGCCAGTGGGGGCGAGAAGGGATGTGGGACGGACGGTAGGTGACCGAAGCTGCGGTGGAGGAAGCGGAGTTGTTGGTGACGCCGGCTGGGAGTTACCCAGAAGAGGCCGGGCCAGGCCATAGGGAGACGCATACTGGTGGTCGAGGTCGCGCATCGCGCGTAGTAGATTCGCCTCGTTAACCTCGGACGCATTGACGGAGGCCGCCGAAGGTACGGCCGAGGAGAGGGGTTGGATGGCCGCGCCAGAAGGGGGGGCGAGCGCGTGCCGCGACGGTGTGGCCGACGTGGCGGCCGCGGCAGCGGCCATGGCAGCAGAGGAAGTAGCGATGGGGTTGTTGTTTGCAGAAGGCGTTGCTACCGTTGCTGTGCTTGAGGAGGACGAAGATGGGCCCGCAGCACTAGCGTGGAGATGGTGATGATGATGGTGATGGTGGTGGTGGTGGAATCGGCGGACAGGTGTGGGTAGAGATGTAGATGCAGATAAAGGCGCCAGCGACGACGGCAGAGATGACTGGACTGGGACTGGTGGTGGGGACGACATGGAGGAGCGAGCCGAATGCTGGGGTCCCGCTGGTGAGGTGATGTGGAATTGGGACATGGTGGGTGTCGCGTCGTTATCGGTGTTGCTTGTGCTACCGTCGGTCGACGACGCGGCGCTCAAAGCGGCACTGCCGCCCGCCGATGCTGTGCCGGCGGCGGCCGCGGTGGCGGCCGCAGTAGCAGCAGCAGAAGACGACGCGATTGATGAGGAGGCACCGGTGTGATCGCCCAATGCCACTGTCGAGGGCCCAGCAAAGGTCGCGGACACATCAATGGACGGCGGGGGTGCCTGGCGGCGGGACGAGCGGTGGTCCAGGTCGACGGCGAGTGTGCGGTGGGTAAAGGAGGACTTGGCGACGCGCAGGTCGTTCAAGCGATGGCGGCCATGGTGCTCCCGGGCGTGGCGCTGCTTAGCCTCCTCGGCCTTCTCGCGGCACTTCTCAATCACCTTGATGTAGTTGTCCAAGATTGTGGCGATGACGGGCACCATGTCGGCCTCGACAACGCGTGTGCGAACGGCCTCGGTGCCACGGACGCCGATATTGACGACGCACTGGAAGGCCAGGTTCCATTTCCACATGTCCATCATGTCTTTGCTGCGGCCCTGCTTGAGGATGCAGACGAGGCGCTCAATGCCGCCATCGACGGTGAGAATGTCGCGGATGCGTGCAGAGGATGTCGTGAGGTAGGCGAGGTGGTTGAGTGAGTTGATGAGAGGCAGTGTCGACGTGCAATCCAGTGCCCGGCGGTCGTACAAGGCGGTGGTGATGCCCACCGACGCCTTGTTGACGTTGGGGATGCTGAAGTTGACTTCCCTCATGTTGTTGAGATGAGGGTTCCGAAGACGCCAGGAAGAGCGTCAACGGTGATGTGGGAAGAGATGGCAAGACGGGCGTACCTATTGGCCGGCCCGAGTAGAACACGGTCAAGAATTGCGATGGCGAAAAGCAGCGAGCTCGGAGTTGACAGCACCGGACGCGAGGACGACAGAGATGCTTGGATGTCTCTCCTTGGCTCTAGCTACCAAAAAAACGGTGATTTGAAGGATGCACTCAAAACAAGGCGAGTGCAGATCGACACAATTGGTGGCAAAAGCGAAAGCGGAGCGATGCCAGGAAGAAATCAACCGACGAAAAATAGATGAGCGAAAAAGGGGACCCCAAGAAGCAATGAGACTGCGGGACAATGGCAGACCAGAGCAAGCGGAAGGCTGACGTGATGAGGATGAGGATGAGGCTTTATGTCCAATGCTGTATCCCGTCAATCGCTTTTCGACAATGATTTCGATGCCAAATTTGATGTTGTCGCTGGCCGAAAGAGGTCCTCGCTTTTCGACACGGTCGATGAGGACGGAATCGGGCAGCGCAGTGGATCTTGGTTTCTGGTTGGAATGCTCGCACAGGGGGGGTGCCTGAAAACACTATCAAAGGCGTTTGCAGGCTTGGAGAAAATGGGGATAATCGAAATGAGCACAAGGCAAAGGGCACTTAAGAGACACGGGACACCAAGGCTGATGCTCCGCGTCGACACGAAATCAAGTGCGTTCCTGTGTGCTCCTTGTCTGCGGTTGAAAAATCGTGACGACGCCGGCGGTGCAATACTGATGAGGTATTAGCGATCGATGGACAATCAGGTCAAATTTGTCGGTCGATTCGGTCAAAGTCGTGAGTCGTTACAAATCGTCAAAACTCGTCTGATAGGGGTTGCATCGTCTTGCCGATGGCCAGCGATGCGGAGGATAGGACGAGGTTGCCGGCGTGGTGCAAGCAACAGAAAAGGAGAAACGCTTGTCGGGATGCCGAAACGGATGACAAAACGGCACAGGTGAGACGGTATGGTGTGGGAGGTTGGGGTCGACGAAGAGGAAAAGAAGAGAAGAACCCCCGTGGATGAAGACAATGGGAGGTCAGGGACGTGAGCAGGTATAGTATAGCGACACTCGGTCACCGTGATTTCAAATGGCAAAAGAAAGATACGAAATATAGGATGGGCTGCGAGGTTGGGGGAGACAACACGCGATGAGGAATGGTTCCAAGGCCTGTCGGAGTCGTTTTTTCTAGTTTTCTTGCGTCGGGATGCCGTTGGCGGTGCGTCGCTCTCGAAATGTATTCTCCGGGGGTGTTGCGGAGAATTAGAGTCGAGCGTCGGTGCCGTAGATGCGAGGCGTGACGGAGAGGGAGTGAGGGCGAGGAGATGCGTGTGGCGGACGGAGGATGGAAGGGGAGGAGAAAAGACAGGGTGAAAAAGTGGTGATGCGAAGGAGGCGAGCGAAGCGAGGGAAATGGCAAATGGGCAGGGCTGGGCTGGGCTAGCTGGCTGGGAGGGCCTGGCCGGTTTAGGGGGGAACAGAAACAGAAGCACGATCCCTAGCCTTTAGGCGGCTGTGGGCAGACCGACAAGGGGCATATGGGCCCAATTGGTCATGGACAGTGCGCGAGCGCGAGGCGAGACGGTGCGATGGCGTGGTGTGGCGGTGGGGGTGCACTGTGCTGTGCTGTGCGTCAGTGCTGCGAGCCCTATCGGCGCGAAGGCGCCATCGTGCCAGGAGATACAGTGCGCCATTTAGCGTGGGCAGCCAGGCCTGGCCTAGCCTACCTGGCAGCATGCCAGCGTCCTGCTGCTCCTTTCCAGTCTATCGTTGGGGCACTCCCGCACAAATCTCCGCAGAGCGCTGGCTCGCTGGTTTGGGTCCGTATTGGAGGCACGGCGCGCCAACCCAGCTGGTCCCCACAGCGGCCCACTACTTCTCTTTCCACTCGCCTCTGTCTGTCTCATCATGGCCACTGTGCCCACGGCTGATCCAGCCACTGGGAAGCTTATTATTGTCAATCGTCTTCAGCGGAGGAATGGCCTGTATTGCTCTGCGCATGCGCTGTAATCAAACTCGCCGGGATGTCTCGCGCTGACGGCGCTCTCTTTGATGCTTTTGTCAGCACAGAAAGCGGCAGAAGCAACAGAACACCAGGCCAAAAGACTGGCCGCCGCGTGCCTGTCAGTTTGTCGCCCCAGGCCCAGGCCATGAAGCACCACGGTTTGCCTTGATTCCCACTTTTTTCCGGCCGTGCTTCTTCTACCATTTGCCATTGCGGCCTCACAACCAGTCGATTGTGTGCTTCCGGGACGATGCCATGCGAGGTAGGCCGTCGTGTAGAGAAGGACAGGCCATTCATGCTCGCCAGGCTGTAGAGGGCAGACGAGGCCTGGCCAACAAGCGGGACATTGCCAGATGGGCCTCGCTGACCATGCCTACCTGTGCCTAGATGGATGCTGGCCAGAGCTTCTCCCCATATTTCCCTTTCTCACATTGAACGCCGTAAATGACCGACTGGCTGACGACAAAGAATTTGCTGGCCAGGCAGGTGCGAAGCATGTGTCAGCCAGGGGAATGAGGAATGACCGTACAAGAACGTGAAATGGCAGGGACCTGTGTCTCCATGAGGACGAAGAGGTGCCGGACAGGCAGGCGTGGCCGACCATCGTCTGTCCGGTGGGACACGACAGCGTAGGAAGCACAGGGCAGGAGCACCAGGCACAAGACAATCGCCATATTCAGCCGCCCATTGCTTGAGGCCCGACCACACGCACAAACACCTCGGATGCGTTTCCAGCAAATTGCGCATTCCGTGCATCGACAGGACAACCTCTCGTCTCTCGTTGTGACTCCTATCTGTTCAACCTCGTCTCCCTTTCCCTTTCCCTTTTCCTTTTCCTGGCTTGATAAGATGCCCGTGCGCTCGTACATCATGCTCCCCTGGCCGGGAAGCTCAACCCCGGTCGTCCTTTTTTTGGCAATGCATCCAAACGGAGTATATCGAGCTGTACGGAGTATACCATGCATCGTACGAGCTTTTCCCCGTCCGGAAGAATACAATGAAGAAGTGTAAGATACAGAATATCCTCTACGGCGCACTGCGTTGGCAGCTGTCCAGGGAGGAAGGAGCTCTTGCATGAACTGCCTGTCCTCCTTACTTTGCGTGTTTCCGCTTGACGCATATTCGGCGGGGACGGACGGAAACAGGCAATCTTGGGCAACGTTTCGCCCTCAATGCGTCCCCTCTTTCCTGTTTCGAAGGCTTTGTGTGTCGCCCCTTCTCATTGCAGTCGACGACAAGCTCTTGCCTTTCTGCCTCTGGAGTTGTCTTGTCTCCTCTCTGCCTCTCGATGTTTCTTTCGATGTTGCCTCTGCCTCTTCACTCCGCCTCTTCACTCTGCCTCTCTCCCCTCATTGTTTCATGCTCATGGCCAGGCCACCTCACCCCCCACTCCCATGACTCCATCCGTCCGCATCTGGCCTGCATCGATTTTTGAGTCGGTTTCTTACACCCCCGCCACGCCGTTTTGCAGACGAGAAGACGAACCAGCGAGATATGTGGAGTGTTGAGAATAACGTATTTCAAAATTGAAGTCGTCCCGTCTCGAGCGTGAGAATGCAAATAAAGTTTACGTGATGCCAGCCCACTGAACCTTTTTCCACCCGCGGACAGTTCCTGGAAGCACAGTAACCCGTACAGTGCGCGGGACACACCGCCTGGCCACCACCACTCCCTTTGCCCCTAGTGTTGTGCCCAGAGATTTAGAAAAGAAAGAGTACGTTTGCGGCGGCAAACCAGCGTGGGCGTGAAACCCAACAAAACAGGCCCGGGCCTCTGTGAGGCGACTGGTAGTGCACGACAGTAAAGAGACGCAAATACAACAACAGACGGCGGAACGAGTCGAGGGCAACAGAGGCAATCTGTTGGGCCTACGACCGATCGACAATGGAGACGACGAAAGGAGAGTGAGAACGCCGCCGCATAAACTCGAGGAAACTGAGGCTGTACGGCATTCTGTCATTCTGGTGCAGCTCTGAAGCTCAATCAGTGTGCCAAGAACGAAATGGCAAAATACGACGGTAGCAGCACACAACGCACGACGAAGGGATGCAGAGGCAAAAGCGAAGAGGGGTTGGAGGCGACCTTGAGGTCCGGTACGGCGCAAGTGGACTCGCGGTGTTTGGGATTTGGGATTTGGGGTGTCCATCCTTTGCCCTATGCTTCGGGTTGCGACACTGGGCAAACCAGGGAAAGCTCACGATGAATACATGAAAAGGGTGGAAAGAGAGTCTGGTCAACGGCCGTGAACCTGGAAAAGCGGCTAGGCACGGAGAGACCAGAGATAGAAAGAGGCACACTTTCACACAGGCACACAGGCTGGTCAAGGAAGAGACAGACAGCAGCTGCTGCGAACAGACCTCCAAACCAATGATACGGTCGTGCTCGCATGCGGCAATTGACCGAATACGCCCTCCATAGCCAACCCGAGTCGGGGTCGAGCAGGGCCCAGACAGCTCCCGGACACCGCGAACAGCTTCTCTCGTGCGTGGGACACTATCGAGTCAGTTGAAAAACAGCAGCTTGTGCGCAACGAAGCAAAAGCTACGAGGCGGCGGCGACACGACAAATCAGCGACAGCGCTTGGGAAAGGGTACGTGCGCCTGTCCGTGCGGCAAACGTGACAGTATCAATGTGTGATTGCGAGGAAGCTTCCCACTGGCACTTGGCACCCCATTACGTAGAAGGTGGATGGCGGCAAAACTACAAAGTAAGAGTTTCAAAAGCACACGATGGAGGCAAAGAGAATGGCATGTGGTGGTAGACCGAAAGAGCCACGAAGTCAGACTCACCTCAGCTGGGCCTCGTTGGGCAGGAACTCATGTCCCATGGCAACCTATCCGTAGCCGGCGCGGCAAAAACCGCCCGAACTCTCCATGTGCATCGACGGAAGAGCGAAGACTCGAGTGACTTGAGAGCGATCGCCGTGTCACGCTTCGCCCCCTTTCCCCGACCCAGCACGCTCAACCTCGCTCTTCCCATCCACACAGCGCAAGATAGTGAAACTAGCGAGAGACCCTGCATTCAGCTATCTGCATCGTCGTCTATCCTGGCATCGACATTTCTCCTTTTGCTCTCATCCGATGGGCTCGTTCGACGATTAAGCGCTGCCCTCGATGCAAGGTGAGCGCCAAAACAAGAGAGTGGTGGCGTTTGTTGTGACCAAGGGACATCTCGTAGCCGACATAAACGAGCGTCTCGATGACGTGCGATGATTACAAAAACGAAAACAAACACATGGGCTGGCGGACAAGTGACAGTGGAGAGACACAAAAAGAAGGTTGGCGTCGATGCTGGGCGCTTCCTGGCCCACAGTGGCTCCTTCCGAGTGCCACCAAACCACCCAGACCACCGTAGCCACCCAACCCCCTGTCCTCGCTGGCGACACTGGGCGTCTAAATTGTGCTCCAAATGGAAAGCGCAAATCACCAACACGACGAACCCCTGCCAAATGCTCCTCAGTCTCTCTGTATGGCGCTCCCAACACGCGCCGCGACATGGGCCATAGACGCAGCCTTCTCCTGCACCACGCAGGGGAGCACACACAAGTGGTCGGCCATGTTGAAAGCCAGCTTTGTTTACGTGCGTGTAAACAAAACATCAAACAGGTCAGACAATCTGGTGTCAAAATAATGTTTACCAGAGTTGAGTTTGTATTTTTTTTTAAAAAAAAAAACTTCTATGTATATATGATAACCTTTAATTTATTTTCAAAAAGTCTATACATTTATGTAAATCTCTTCATATGTAATATTTCGTATGCCAATCATTGACATTTTGATTTCGTTCAACACAGATATAAATTAAAATAAATACGCAACGCCGGGCGACACGATAATATGCCAATATGCACGAAATAATCAATGTGAAAATCCAGCTACCCAGGTTGCAACAGTAGCTGCACAACCTTTTTTACCGATCCTCGCCCCATGCTTCAATGGCATTGCTCGGCATCTTCTTCTTGCCCTTGCCCCGTTGACCGCCCTTGAAGTGCTTCTTGCTGTCTGCCGCGATCTTGGCCGCCGCCCGCGCATCTTCAGCATCCAGCCCCTTGGCCAGCGCGTCCATTGTCCGCGCCTTGCGCCCCGTCAGTTTCTTGCCGCTGAGCGTCGCACCGCCCTGTGCCGCCAGCGTGGCCTGCTCGGCCTGGCCCTGTTCCGTGTATTTATAGCTAAACGGCCGCGCCACAACGCCGCGGTTGCCGGTCGCGCTCTCGCGGAAAAACGCCTTGTCGAGGTCGCGGGACTTGGTGCTCTGCTTCTCGCGCACGGGGAGCGTCATCACCACATCGTCCATCGGTTCGCCGTCGGTGGCCTCGTCTCCTTCGCTCTCCTCGCCCTCCTCATCCTCATCCTCGTCCTCGTCCGACGTGATGTCGCTCGAGTCCTCCTCCTCCTCCTCCAGCTCCCAGGCGTTCGGGCCAGCCCTCTTCGCCGCCTTCTTGGAAGGACGCTTCAAGCTTGGCACGGCAGAGGCCTTGGACTTGGAGCTCGTCCTGGATTCGGTATCGGCCGCCGCTGCTGCCGCCATGGCAATCTGCCGCTTCTCGGGCAGGTGCTTGTGGTCGTACAGCTCGTGGTTGAAGTCCGCAGGGTCGATACCGTGGCCCGGAGGCGGTGCCACAAACAATAGCTTGCCGTTGACGTAGTCTTTGAGAATGTACCGAGCCGCACGCGACTCGTCGGGCTGGCCCTGGCCGGTCCGCGTGAAACCGCGAGCGCGGGCGTACGCAGACAGCAGCTCCTCGGCCGTCGGGGTACCGGTGCCGCCCTCGCTGACGTTCTGTGTGCGAATGTGAATGCCGTACACAGCCTCGAGGAACGCCTTGGGAATGCGCGCAGTGACGAGCTGCGCAGGGCCTGTGAACTCGCGCAGCTGGTCAATCGGCAGAATGCCGTTGCAGACAAGGTCGGCTTTGGTGGTAGCAAAGTTGGGGAACACGAGACCGGGACAATCACAGAGCGTGACGCGGGGGCTCAGCTCGATCGTCTGGAAGTGCTTCGTCTTGCCGGGCGTTGAGGACACAGATACCTTCTTGGCGCCAATCAGTGCGTTGATGGTGGACGACTTGCCGACGTTGGGGTAGCCGACGAGGCCGACCTTGAGCTTGCGCGTGGGATCATCCGTTTTCGGGGCGTGTTTCAGGAATAGAGCCTCCAGCTCGTCCACGGACAGGATGCGCGTGTCGAGGCCGCCGTTGTTGTCCTGGCTTGCCTCCTTGTCGTCCTCGCTCTCGTCTTCGTCTTCCTCCTCGTCCTCCCCTTTTTCGGGTGCTGCGGCTGGCGGCTTTGCGGACCCGCCACCGGCCGCCTGCCACCGCTCCTCCTCCTCCTCCTCGGCCTGGCGAAGCTCGTTCTGCTCCTTGGCCATGTGTGCCGAGAAGAACTTGTACGCAATCTTGTTCTCTGTCAGATGCGATGCCCACGCCCGCCGTTGCCGGTCCGTCATCATGTCCGCCTTGTTGATCAGCAGCAGGTTCTGCTTGGCCGGGTCGACAGCCTTGACGTAGTCCTCGAGGTCCTCGGACCGGAACACGAGCGGGTTGCGGGCGTCCACAATCTGCACGACCAGGTCGGACCGCTCGATGACACGCCACAGCTGGCGCCAGACCTCCAAATTCCGCTCAAACGGCGTCATCAACAGATCCGCGTTCTGCTGCAGTTCGGCGAGGCCACGGCGCCACACCAGGAAACTCTCACGCTCGGCCTTGTCGAGCTCGGCCGCCGTCATGTTTGCGTCCCAATGCGGGCGACGCGGCACCGTCAGACGCTCGCGGTTCTGGCTGTGCAACTTGAGCCGCCGGCCCTCTTCGGCGTCGGTCAGCAGGTAGGGGTTCTTCTGGTCCGTGTGGATGATCTGCGAGTTGTTCATCTTGACAGCGCGGAAGTTGGTGTCGGCGTAGGCGGCCGTAGACAGGAACTCCTCAATGGCGCCCTGCTCCGTAATCGAGCGCATCTTGACCCAGGCCGCATCGGCGCGGTCGTTTGTAATGTACTGTACTAGTGTTAGAAGACTGTTGCCAGTGAAAACGAATATATGGTGATGCCCAACATACATCTTCACCAGTCGCATGGTTCTTGCGTGTGATACCCGTGCGGTACTGGTCTTTTCCCTTTCCGTTGCCGAACCGGTCGTTCATCAGCGCATTGCCGAGACCGACCTGCTTTTTCGACTTGGGCATACCCATCGTGACGGGTTGCTGTGTCCTGGCTTCTTGTTGTGTAACTTTTGTGAAGAGGCTTCGTTGGGGTCGTTCGCGACTTGGTGGAGGAGTGTCGTGTGCTGTCGATGTAGTCAATGGCGGTACAGAGATGTTCTGTCGATAAAGTTGGTATTGGACAAAAGAATGCCAATCTCTCGACAATATCGCGGCGGCGTCGAAACTATATACTGCGATGCAAATAGTTTGTAAAATGTAAATGCTGGAGGCCTATGTTTTGTTTCGCCCTCTGAAATCTTCACCTGCCTCTGCAAATAGGTTGCTCTTGCCGTGCAAAGGCTGATTAATAGCGGGGAGGGGCGATTTTTTCCCAACTTGGCGCTTTGTTGGTGCTGGTGTGACTGTTTTTCACAGTCGTCACTGCCCTGCTGCGCCCACCCCGCCAAAATATGAATCAGAATGAGCGCGATAAGATAAAGAAAATTAAAATGGGGGCCCAACTTTTGCTGGTCTCCAGCGCCATGGCCATACATTTTTTTTTTGATGGTAGCGCAGTCTGAATCCAGTCGGACTTTCTCGACAACCATATTAACGAAAGCCTTGAATCTGTCAAAACGCGAAACGTGACTACAAGCGAGTTCGATCCCCACGCGCGACGTCCGACAACCCACATACATATCGTCATACAAGCTAAACCGCAGTCATGCCTCGACGCAAGTGGATGTAAGTGTTCGCTGCCCGCTCTGGGACCCCCCACATCGATACCGACTCCTCTGAACGGTGTGACACTTGTCGCATGTTCGCGGCCATGTACTGACGTGTCTTGTCCTCGTCTAGTGACAAGAAGTCGGCGGCGCACTTCACGCTCGTCCACCGTCCCCAGAATGACCCGCGCATCCACGACGAGTCGGCCCCGGCCATGGTGCTGAACCCGACTCAGGCACCCAACGCCGGCGGCAGTTCGACGACCGGCACCAGCGTCAAGTCCCGGCGGCTCGACGACCTTGCGTCGCAGCTCGGGTCGGACGTCGATGACATCCGCGACAACGAGGGCGAGGCGGCCAACTTTGGCGTGTTCTTTGACGACTCCTCGTACGACTACATGCAGCACCTGCGCGAGATCGGCCAGGGCGGAGGCGAGGCCGTGTTTGTCGAGTCGACGGCGTCGCTCAACGCCGCCCACAAGAGCCGGCAAAAGACGTCGCTGGCCGACGCCCTGCAGCAGATGGACCTGCAGCACCGGTCCGAGGAGCTGCTGGATGAGGACATCTTGCCGGCCAAAGCGCTGCAGCGCGTGACGTACCAGAACCAGCAGGATGTGCCGGACGCGATTGCCGGATTCCAGCCGGACATGGACCCGCGCCTGCGCGAGGTGCTCGAGGCGCTCGAGGACGAGGCGTACGTGGACGACGACGAGAGCAACGACGACCTCTTCCAGCAGCTTGCCAAGGACGGCGAGGAGCTGGACCAGTACGAGTTTGAGGACCAGTACGACGACGACGACGACGGCTGGGAGTCGGACGCCACCGAGAAGCCCGCGCAGCCGCGCCAGGGGTTTGAGGACAGCACCACGACCGGCAACGGTGCTGCTCAGGGCGACGCAGACGACGCAGACGACGAGACACGTGACACAGTGCCGGAGCTGGTCGACCTGTCTGGCGCAGCGGCTGCCCCGCCGCCGGAGACCGAGGGCGCCGACGACTGGATGGAGGACTTTAAAAAGTTCAAGAAGGACCAGTCGACAACGGCCGCTTCGGGCGCGCCCAAGAAGAAGATCACACCGGCCATGTCGGACGTGCAGTCGTCCATCTGGACGACCAACACGGCCGGTGGCCGCAAGAAGAAGCGCAAGGGCGCGCTGACGGAGCAGTCGGGCTTCTCGATGACGTCGTCGTCGCTGGTGCGCACGGAGCAGATGAGCCTGCTGGACGCGCGATTCGACAAGATCGACGAGCTGTACAACAACGACGCGTTTGACGAGGACGGGTTCGGGGACGACATGAAGTCGGTGTCGGCGTTCTCCACCACGTCGAGCGTGCAGGGCCCGCTGCGCAACGACTTCAATGGGATTATGGACGAGTTTCTGGGCGGCTACTCCATGCAAGGCAAGCGGGCAATCAAAAAGGGCCGGCAGCAGACAGGCCTGGAGCAGCTGGACGAAATCCGGCGGGGACTGGGTCCGGCGCGGTTGTCTACGCGGAAAAAGTAAGCATTGTGTCGTGGTCGAGTTCGAAAAAAGGGGCAGGAAATCATTGTAATCATCTGGGCGGCGTTTTAATCTTTATTTTATTTTTATTTTTTTGTTTGCTGTATCTGCCTGGATTTGGCTTGAGGGATACTAGAAAAGTGCTTTTTAGTTAATTGTAATAACCCAATGAATGACAACATATAAAAACCACTTGGTAGGCCGCTGCAAAGGAGAAGTGATCGGGTCTGTGACCTTTCGTGCGTTGTGATGCTCAGTCGGCGGATCGTTGAGTTTTCAAGTCACAGTTGCTCACGTGACAGCGCTATGATGAGAATTGTCAGGATACATGACGAAAGCGTCCTATCGAAGGCTGAAAACGACGGGGTGTCAACGTGTTCGATCTGTTCTTTGTCCTCTTGATATCAACAAGTAAAAGGAGGCGAATGGAGGAAGTCTTTATTGTGTGGCCTTTCTTCGCTATTGTGTCCCCTCAACCGCAGGTAAATAGAGGAGCTTGGACCACGCGCTGCAGGGCGCTAGTCTCGAAGCAGGCCTCTGTGCCCCACTTTTGTTTGTTGGTTGTTCCTGCTTCGTTCTGCGTGTTTGCCGCCGCTGGTACCTATTTGGGGGCGGTCAAGGCCGGCAGAACTAGCCGCGCCTGCTAAGCTGGGCCAGTACAGGCGCCTACGACAGTGGACCTAGGCCGTTCGCGACAAAAGGGCAAAAACATCACCAACCTCACAACGACCGACGAACAACAGCACGACTTCCCACGCCGCGCACCACCACGACACGACCTCGCAAAGTGTAGAGTGCTCGTATTCGATTGATTTTATTGTCTCTGTGTGCTGCGTGAACCCTGCTCGCGCTGCGGCGACCTCCCGCCGGCCGAGCAGCTCCCGATGGGCGTGAAGCGCGTCCCTTTGCGACGACGACGATGACGACGGCCTTCTCCTTTTCTGGCAGCGCACCACAAGCACCGCCGGCTGCGGCCGCTTCGAGCATGTCTGGAGGACAGGGCGGGACGCTGGGGGCGTTTGGCCAGGCACAGCAAGGTAAGCTCCGACTCTATTGTGCATTGACGTGAAATCGCATTGTTCTGCTCAGAACAGAACTTCCTCACTTTTTCCTCACTTTTCCTGTCACCTCGCCTTCGGCCACGTTTTTCGACCTCGACCTCTACCCCGCCCAGCCACCTGCTTTTTCTTCTGCTGCTCGACAATACCATACAGAATTTTTTTGCGAAACGACTTTCCTCTCGTTCTTCTCTTCTCCTTTTTCCGATTTTCTTTTCCACGCAGAGACAAATCTCGAAATTATATTTCCTGCACTCTGCTTCCAGCTTTTATATTCTCGCTTTTCCTTTTGCTTTCCGCTTGTACAACACCCTCTTCTCGACATACGCTGTCGTCCCAGTTGTTCAAATACGTCTCGACCTTTTATTGTCTATACTCTTCTCTTTCTGCAACACATCCGCCATTTCGAGCTTCAAATTTCCAATCCAAATTTGACTTCTGCATGGCAAGGCTCGTTGTTCCTCCGACCGGTGCTCTCTCCATGGCCACGGCCTCGCGTCCAAATAGTACCAAACCTCCCATTGGTGATACCACCATGGCTCCTCACTTCTCGTCACCGGCACAGTCCATGGCTGTCGACTCGGACGCAGATCAGCTGGCAGATCAATTCGCTTCGCTGAATGTCTTTGCGCAGCCTCTGACGAGCGTGCCAGCTCCTGCTGCTCTCTCTGCCGCCGACTCCGAGGCCGATCGCTACCTGGAAATTGCCAAAGCTCGTCCCAAGTCTCTCATTGCTCTCACATCGCTTGCCGAGCCAACCTCGTCGCTGGCTCTGACCCTTGCTTCGATGTCCCTCTCGGGATCGAGCTCTTCTTCGACCTCCAAAGGAAAGGAGACGGACATGGGAAACCCATTTCTGCGTGTCGGCCAGCCGAACGACAAGGCCAACAAGATGGCAGATCCAAAAAGCAAAGGGAAAGAGACAGGCACCGCTGAGAAAAAGGTTGCTCCCCGTCGCAAGAAGGCTCCTGTTTCGTGCTTCATTCAGCCGAAGAGACAGACTCCAAAGCCACCAGCATCTCCGCCACCTGGCTCAGTTTCTACCTCAGCTCAGCCGTCCACGCCTGCAACCGACTCGTGCTCGACGTCCGTTCTTACCCAAACCACGAGCACCGAGAAACAGGCCGCAGATGGCGAGCACAAGACCAAAGCTCCCCAAGAGAAGTCAAACTCGACGGAGACCGAAACCACCGCCAGTGACTCTTTGGAGTCAAGCATGGCTGGTCTTGAGATCAAGCTCCCAGCCAAGTCGACTCACGCTGCCGAGAACCCTGTGAAGCCTCCTATCAAGCGTGCTGCGGTCACCTTCCCGCCTGGTGCCCTCCGGATCTCAATGGCCTCCATTCCCGCTGCCCCCATGATCCCCGCCATCTCTACCACGGCTCCCATTGTCGAATCTGCCGCCTCCTAGAAAGAGGAAGCGGACTCGACAAAGGACAAGGGAAAGGAAACGCAGCCAAAGTTCCCACCCAAGAGAAATGCTGTTATATTTGCACCGGGAGGACTCAAGATTGCCGGCCCCAGTGCACCTCCCAAAGAGACGACGGCTTCTCTCATGCCCGTTGCGCCTGTTATATCTCTTCCTCCGACAATCCCAGAGGTCGAGGTTGCGCGTCCACGCAAACGTGTTTCTCTTGCATCTGCAGAACCCAAGGTGCCGAAGGACAACTCCTGCACAGCTCCACAGCCTGCAGCCCTTCTTCCACCTATCGTGTCAGCTGTGCCAGCTGTGCCAACCGTGCATTTGCCCACCTCTCCACCAA